GCGTGTTTCACCCTATTTGAGACTTGCCAGCTGGATATACCTGCATCTCAGAGTTGATGTTAACTCCGGAACTCGAACTCAGGATACACATATGCCAACAACAGATTGATCAATTGCAGTCCTAAACAACAATGGGAAGATACAAGCAAACGATACCAACGGATTTAAATCTGAATAAGTGTTTCAACATTTTTGCCTGTCAAACGTTAATCTGGGTCTGACTTTCAGTCTGTCAGTCAGTAACAACTTAGTACACATGTTCATCAGTTCGAGTTACCATACCACATTGACACAGACATGCAGTTGTCGATTCAAATCCCATAGTGGTAGGGTAGAGGTAGTAAAAGTATAAGCAGCAATCGGAAACATTAGGGTTTGGAGATGTTATTCAAGGAGTATAATCCAGTGAAATAAATTTGGAAAGAGGAAAAAAAGGGACATGAAGAATTCAGAAGATTAGAATTTGGGAGAACACAGAGAGTGGATGCACCTGCGCCATTGCAAACGATTTTGAGCCATGTCATTCAGGGTCTCTAACCATCGGTTGCTATCATCTCGCGGTCCCCAACCAGGTAGTCTACACCTACCAACATGACTCAGTTCACTTGTCAGTGACTTCATGGACTTGTGCCATGTTTTGGTTTGGCCGCCCCTAGCTTTCTTCCAACCTACTCCTATACCACTGAACATAGCACGTCGAGGCAGTCGGTCGTTGGGCATACGTAACACGTGTCCCAGCCATCTCAACTGATGAAGTTTCACTACTTCATCAATTGATTTGCCATCCTTACCTAGTACCCGTTTCCTAACAACTGTGTTACTTACTCGATGGTCCCATGATATACGAGCAATGTTTCGAAGACACCTATGATCAAATACTAGTAACCTACGAATATCCTCTACTCTTACCGGCCATGTTTCACTGCCATAAAGTAGGACGGAACGAACTGCTGCGCAGTAAACACGTCCTTTGGTTGATAGACGGATATCTCGCCTACGCCATAAATGACGCAAGTTGGCAAAAGCTAGTCGAGCCTTCTGTATCCGTGCTGAGATTTCGTCACACACCAAACCACAAGGGCTGATGAGACTTCCAAGATAAGTGAAGCGGTCGACACACTCAACTACTTCACTCCCTATCACTAGTTCGGGTGTCGATGTAACCCAATCCTGAAGCAACATTTTGCATTTCGAGGGAGAGAATCGCATCCCGAACATGCTTGCATTGTTGCTTAGAGTGGTCAGAAGACTCTGCATTTTGTCAGCGTCTTCACCAAATAAAACTATGTCATCAGCATATTCTAAGTCAACAAGTGAACCTCCGGTAGAAGTTCAACCCCTGGAAATTTAGATGAGGAGAGTGTTATCTCTAAAAGTACGTCGACCACAAAGTTGAACAAGAATGGGGAGAGTGGACAGCCCTGACGAACACCACTTGAGGTAATCAATTCTGATGACAGTTCGCCATAAGCTCTCACTCTACCAGTTGTGTTCGAGTAGAGAGCCTTTATAAGGTTAATGTACTTCTTTGGTACTCCTTTCAGTGACAAACACTGCCATAGAACCTCACGATCAACAGAGTCGAATGCCGCCTTAAGGTCGAGAAATACTACCATTGTGGGGCGTCTGAATGTGTGTCTGTGTTCTAGAACCTGACGTAGTGTGAATATCTGATCTATACAACCACGTCCAGGTCGAAAACCAGCCTGGTTTTCTCTAGTCTGCTCTTCACGAGCTTTAGTTAGGCGTCGAAGTATTATTGAAGCTAATATTTTAGACACTATATTAGTCAAACTGATTCCTCTGTGATTGTCACAAGAGGACTTTTGTCCTTTCTTATAGACTGGCACAATCAGTGATTGAGACCAGTCAGATGGGATTACGTCCAGTTCCCAAATTCTACCTAAGACCTCAGTTAATCTCATTGCTAATACTGGACCACCATCCTTAAAAATCTCAGGAGTAAACCTGTCAGGGCCTGCTGCTCTCCCTCGTTTCAGATTTCCTATGGCTTTTTCAACTTCGTAAAGGGACGGAGGACCTACATTAACTTGCCATTCAGGTTGACTGGAGATCGTGGGAAACCGAAGTGTGGCTGAAGGCCAGTTGAACTGATCCCTAAAGTGTTCTGCCCATCGATCCAATCTCCTGGATTGAGAATGAATAATATGTCCATCTTTCTCTGAGATTGTTTCGCTAACGGTCGGGTTCCTAATTCCGGTTTCCTTAACGAGTCTGAACAATTGTCTGCTATTACCTATTGCCGCTGCCTTTTCCATCTCTCTTGCTTTCGCTACCCACCACTGTTCGCGATCATTGCGTAGACTTCTTGTCAGCTTGCGCTTAAGCTGACTCCGCTCTTCATTATGTTCAGAGCCAGGTGGAATGAGTTTCCGAGCATCTATCAGTGCGATAGATGCTGCTGAGATCCAGTGTTGCTCCCTAACCTTCTGGTTTACCTTACTAGCAGATATCACTGCTGTTTCCACAGCTTTTCGGATATCATTCCATGCTGCATCGGGGTGGGCATCACATACATGGCTGCCTAACTGTTTTCCTAGTTGTTCCTGAAATATACTCTTAGCTTGACTATCATTAAGTAGGGCCCTAAGAGGTTTCCTTGCAGCGTCTTTCCTACGTCCAGTAAGACGCAAGCAAATACGCGCTCGCACTAGAGCATGATCTGAATCTAGGCATGTGCTCCAGAATGAGCGACAGTCTTCTATCGAGCCCCTCCATCTGTGGCTGATAGCGATGTGATCTAGTTGGGTCCAACGTTGGGACGAATTAGGGGGTCGCCATGTTAAAAGATGTTTTTCCTTATGCTTAAAGTTAGTATTTTCTAGAAACAGGCGATTATCTGAGCATAGCTGCAACAGACGGTCGCCATTATCTGTTCTTTGAGCCATGACACCATAAGATCCACCTAGGTGCCTTTCCTTTTCTTTTTTTGAGCATGAAGTCATCAGCCACTATTACTACATCAGAACGCCCAGCTTCCTGGAAAAGGTCGGAAATTTTTCTGTAAAACTCATCTTTTACATCATCTGGGTTGCAGTCAGTGGGAGAGTAGGCAGAGACGACGAAGAGGCAACGACGAGTGTCCCTATCTATCCGAGTTCTTACTGTTCCGTTCAGCGCACAAGCGACTGTCTACTGGGATCCAGTCTAAGAGAGCTAGTTCTGCCCCAAGAGTTTTTAATGTGTTAGCTTCGTTCTTCAAAGGGCCTTACCGCCGGAGACGGAGATCCGTGAGGTAAGGTGAGGTGTGAAATTTTTAGAGTCGACCTTTTCTGACCTCATTACTCATTGTGTGAAGGTAGCATCGATGCAGATGCTGGTTGTCTGAGGGAAACGCCTTACTGCTGTCACACCCATCTGCATTCAGCAGTACGACTTCACCCTCAGACCTTGAGTTGCTGCTTTTAGTTTAACCGTTCTCCAGTCGACCTGCCTGGCATAGTAGAACCTACAAGAACATACGTTCCAGTCAATATAGCTTGGTTTTGCCATCACAATAGGCAAGCCCGACCACTATGTCAAGGTAGCAGCTATGGTTGGAAGTCTGGTTTTAAGTGGAATAAATAATAATCTGAATTATATATACACTTAATGATTCCTATGTTCATAATGATAAAACGTGCATGAGGTTCACTGAATATGTCTCACCTGTTCATGTAAATAATATTAAATAAAACATAGTCATTTGACTTTAATAAGTCTCTCCAGAGAGCACAAAGTACCATGTTTTGCGGGAATACATTTAAGAACACTGCGAAGTACAACTTATTAATCTGAAATAAAGGCATTTTTTTCGCCCTTATCTGAAATTATGATCATGATGGGGTTTGTGGAGATTTTAGTAATTTTAATGGTTGAATTTATGAGTCGATGTAAGCTAGTTCACCATGGAAAGCTTGGAAGCAGTGGACAGCCGTTTCGTCATAGTATGGGACTCTTCAGCGGTGTGTGTCAACGATCCCGCACGCATGACTCGAACCTATGACCCTCAGTCTCGCATGCAAACGACTAATTTCTAAACTACTGACCCGGCGTGCTGCAAGGGAGTCCCATACTAGGACGAAACGGCCATCCAGCGCACATCGACTCATAAATTCAATTATTAAAATGACTACAATCTCCACAAACTTCATTCCGATAATAATCATCATGTGCATAATATGAACTGGGACACAGATGATTTCCTGGAGTTCTAATGAAAAGCCGTGACCAGTGGAGTCCAATCCGTATTAAGTAGAGACAGGTATCTATCTCAGACAATAGATAAATGGTTGCACAGGTATTCATGAATCGATCTAAGTATAGATACTAACACTGTTGGATGTCAGTTCAGTGATTCAGCAGGTTAAGCATTCGCCCGCAACATTAAAAGGCCCTGGGTTTGAATTCCGCGTATGGGATCGTGGATAAGCACTGCTGAGGAGCCCCACAATAGGACAAAACAGCCATCCAGTGCTTCTAGGTTTCCAACGATGGTCTAACACCAATCGGTTCATGATCTCAATCAAAATATTAAAATATTTTTCTGAATTGCTTGTTACTTTTTGATTTGAGATAATTCATCAGCTGATTTCGTTAATTTACGTGCAAACCTAGGATAGTTTTCTTTCCCCTATCGATTATGATCCATTCCCCATTTAATTATAAGGAATAAGTTTTGATATAGATATGGTGTAGGACAGACATATCTAATGAGAAAAAAACACACACACACTCATCATATGAATGTCTATCCTACATAGATTCACGGATAGTCACATGTGTGTTGCCCACTAACTCGTATCCTTACTGATTTGTGATTGGTTAATTATTGGGCGATTTGACCTTGTAATGATTATTATTAAATATAATACATATATCTTAAGTAAAATATAATGGAGTTACTATGTCTCTGAGTCTTTAGAATTTTTTTTTATTTTTTAATTGTTACTATTCGATATTGTACATTAAAAAGAGAAAAAAAAAGAAATTTAGTTGCTATGAGCAATAAAAAAATTAAACGATCTATACCAATATGGTCAACATGTTTTTGTATTGATACTCATCATTGTGGATTATTTAAACAAACCAATAGAAAATTAGCTTATTTCATACAAAAAGGTAATCTTCCAGCAATTGAACATATATTAAAACGTATAAAACAACCATTAAATAATTTAACGATCATTGTGAAACGACATCATTTCAATACATTCTATCCATATTTAATGAATCATCATCATCATCATCATAATCATTATTTTTATCAAGAATGTTCACCAGTTCTATGGGCTATAGATTGTTTACAATGGAATGTTTTACCATTATTATCCTATTATGGTATCGATATCAATCGTCCACAATTATGTCGTCGTTGGACAGATTGTATATGTAAAAAGAATTCACGATCAAGTTAATAATAATAATAATATATTACCATATCGTAAATTTTGGACACATGGTCATTATACATATCAATCTGGATTAGATTATTTCTTTGCTAGTATTTATGAATATATAAATGATAATTATTTAAATGATATTAATCTATTAACATTTTATAATATACATTTATCAAATCTATTAACAAAAGGTATTGATATACATCGTATTAATTCAGTGATTATATTTAATTTATTAGCAATTAGTTTTAATCAATATTTATATCAATCTATCACATCTATGAATGATTATTCCATATTAACAAAAATCAATAATCAATCATTTATTGAATTATTAATTATTAAAAAACTTATTAAAAATGGTTATTCACAATTTGAATGTATGGATTATTTATATTCCTATTGTAATTGGTTTAGTATATTATTATGTATATTATGTCATCCGAATATTGATCTATATCATCATCATCATAATAATAATAATAATAATAATAATAATAATAACAATAACAATAGTAGTAATAATAATAATAATGGTAATAATAGTAGTAGTAATAATAATGGTAATAGTGGTAATAATAATAATAATAATAACAATTATAATAATGATAGTGATAGTAATAGTAATAATAGTAATAGTAATGATAATAATAATAATGGTAGTAATGGTAATAATAATAAGATGCCAAAAATGGTAAAACAATCAATATTATTATTGATTAATTTACTTGTATTAAAATGTACTATTCCAACTATAGAAGAGTTTTCGGAATTCATTGAAAATTTACCATTATGTAAATTATATATTAAATATAATAATAATAATAATAATGATAAATATAATGAATTTTATAAACGTTTAATTCAATTACATCAATTATGTTATCAATTAATGAATAAACCATTTAGTTTAAAATTAATAACAAGAAATAAAATAAGAAAACAAATTGGTGGTATTGATTTTTATAGAAAAATCAATAATATTGATTTACCTAAACAATTAATAACATTTATACAATATATTAATTATGAACAATTTGTAATTATGAATGATATACCAAAACAATTTATTGAATTCATACAAAGTGAATGGATCGATATGAATTCAACCATAGATAGTAATGATAATCATAATAATAGTAATAATAATAATAATACATTGGAAGAATCTATGAATATATTCAATCAATCGAATGATTTAGAACAGATCAATAATAATAATGATAATAATCATGAAAATGAACAACAACTACCTATGAATAATAATAGTTTACAACGTGGTAGAGCCTCAGAACGTCAACATATTCATATGTATCAAAGAAGAATAAATAAACATAAACCACCATTAAGACCTACATCTGCTCCATTACTTAGAACATTTGTTAGATAAGAAAGAAAAAAAAAGTTTTTTTTTTATTTACTTGGAAACTATATTTATCTCAGGGATTATAACAACCACAACCACAACCACAACCACAACAACGAAGAAAATAAATAATGAAATACTGATCCTTCAATGATTTTTATTTATTTAATTTTCTTGTTACCTTCTCTCTACCCCCCCCTTGTTTATTTGTTTATGATAAAAGGCATAAAATTATTGTTTTGTTAAATTATTCAATTGATTATTGATTAAATTAGGTGTAAAGAATATTCTAATGTTACTATATTATTATTTGTTGTTGTTGTTGTTCTTTTTATCATTGGTGGTGATGGTGTTGTGTTGTTATTTTGTCCGAATGATTCGTTTATTATTTCTATGATTGTATATTGATTTTTTGATATTTTTAGTACCACATCTTGAACCTAGAATACAATTGATGAACATTCCCATTATGCTTAGACTTTGTAAATTATTGATTAGTTCAAGACTTATTTATATTGTTAATGTGATACATAAATATTACCATAGTCAAGGGGGGGGGAGGATTGTTTTTCTTATTACATCATTGTGTTTTTTTTTTTGAGGAAGAAAACATTTTTTTATACAGAAATTCTTTAATAACTTTAAGTATAATCTTTGACAAGATCAATATGTATGTTAATCATTTGTTTATTTTATAATCAATTTTATCAACGATCAAATCTAATCTTGAAATGATCACTTACTTACTTACTTACGCCTGTTACTCCTTGTGAAGGAGCATAGGCCGCTCACCAGCATTTTTCATCCAACCCTATCTTGGGCTTTAATAATCAATTCAATGATTATTGATTTTAAAATCATTCAATCATTTGATTGTTTATTGTTTGTATTTTGTTTTTCCTATAAATATTTGTTTGTTTACTTGTTACTATGTATGTATGTTTATGTTGATCACTTGTAAATATATAAATATCGATTTAGATATAGAAGATTTATAATAATGAAAAACAATACATTTTTAGAAATTGTCTATTATTTATTGATTTTTTGTTTATTTATTTATTGATTGATTGTTTTTAGAGGATAAAATTTAAATAAACAAACTTGCTATTTGATCATTGCCTTTTTACTTTCTTTCATTCTTCTAAATATATAGAAATGAATTTGTTTATTAAATTGTATTGTATCCTAGTCACATTCATATTCTAATTGAGTAATGTATAATTTATACAAGCAATATCATATAGATAATTGATAGGTTATCCAAGTGTTGATCCGATTTGATCGATGTTATATTTCAGGTTGTTATATAAATTAGAAATTGGTCAATGAACTGTTATTCAGTTACCTATTCTCATGGTTTAAAGCATATTTGGCAAGACTCTAATTTATGGATGACCTTTGAACGAATCTTAAGTGAACTTGAGTAATATTAGTCAATCAGCAAACAGTCAGTATAGAGTAAAAATTTGTTATACAAAACCAAGGAAATAAAGTGGATACACGTCTTATACATGGTTCAAAAACTTGTCAAGGTTAGGAAGAGGTTCACTGGTTCTAAAATCGTAATGCATGCAGTAGAGGAGATCATCCATATGGCTACGGAATAATCGGCCTCTGGAACCATGATAAAGTCTCAAAAACTATTTCAGCCTCGACTACATAGTTTAAATATTGTTTATGTGCACTCCGATTGTTGAGTGCACAAAATGCTACTTGTAGATAACGACAAGATACACATAACCAAGCCTATGTAGGAGTTTGTACGCTCTCCAATCATCCGTATATATTGCAGTACCTGGCTGCAGCTAGTGTTACTGATGCTTTTATTATCTGGTTCGCAATAAGTGCTGTAATTTGCCTTCGTTAGGAATTATGTATGAAGTTTCCATCAGGAAGTGACATGAGCTATAATGCCAGAAATTTATTTACCTAAATGGATGAAAGGCTTTCGCGTTAAAATCTGAAATCTATTATCTTACACCTGATTGATTCGTCCACAATTATAGTCCCGTCGTTTTATTTGTTATAGCGCTCAATTAAAACGTTTTATACAAAATTCCCAATGAACCGATCGTATGTTAGCATTAAGCACTGAAGTTGGCGCCGTACCCTTGATATCTCTTAAACGCCTCTGATTGGCTCGTCCATAAATTAGAGTCTCGTCACATATTTCTTGTAAATACAACCTATAATTTATAAGCAAAGATGGATAGTGGCTAGTAGTGAAATCCAGTTTGACGTGCGTTTCGTCCTATTTGCGACTCGTCAGCATGACGTACCTTCATTTCAGAGTTGGTGTTCACTCTGAGACTCGAACCCAGTACCGTTCACTTCAAATAGGACGAAATGCGCGTCCTGAATTCCATTGCCAACCATCATCCATGTTTGCTTATGATGCTTTTGAATTAAGAGAATATCGAGGCAATACGCACAGGATGCACCTATGCCAATAAGCGACTGATCAGTCCTTAACAACAATGGGAATATTTAAGTAAACAATACCAAGTGAATTCAACCTATAATTTGTTTAAAGAATTAATGTCTAATCTGTACTGCATAAAATATAGATAAAGATACTCCTAGGTAAATTAATTATCCGGTATACAATAGTCTATGCTACTTTGATGTTATATCATCTTTTGAGAATATAATGTATGTGGGACGGTTATTTAATTATTTCATTGTTCTCCAGTTGTTTAAAGTATTCCCTGATGAAATTTAAGTATTTGTGTATACCTTTGGATGGGTTTAAAAGTAGGTAAATAATGGATAATGAGCAAACATCACTTCGAAGAAACGTTCCTGTCGGATAGGCTGTACACTTCTAAATTGTAAAAAGTAAATCAGTCTCCTTTATAATAAACTGACCGAATCGCTCTAAATAAGTAGACTAATCTTTTAATTGGATCAGATAATGATAAAACAATTTAAATCTATCCCAATTTATTTTGACTTGTAGTGATTATTAGACAAAGAGAAGGTGAATATTTCTGAAAATGACATAGTCTTCAGTTGGCTAGTAAATCTGTCTAACAAACTTCTAGAAGTTTGAGCTGATGATACCGTTCAGAAGAACGATGAAAGCTCCACGACCAAACCATCCAGCTCAAAGAAAAAACTCCATCAAAATTATCCACCTGAGCTACAAATCTTCTCCACTATGTCTAACATACTCCCATCACCTGATTGGTATTGACTGTATTATTACTGTAAAATACAAATGCTAGGAGAATTCAAAGAGAACTTCAGAAATCATTTAATTTGATCAATCAACGTTCTTCAGAAACTTTGAAGATAATTCTAAAACTCAAAAAAAAAATATTTTCATTGTTCCGATTGGACAGTGACCGAATTTCTTATCAATTTTACCATGATTACCAGAAATATCTTGAATCTCAAGGTCACACTGTTATATCCGAATGAAGAATAAATGAACAAGAACTGCTAAGAATTATTTATGGATTCTTATTGGACAATTATTAAGTAACTGGATTGAACATACATTCATATTCTTTTTATCATAAGTTTTCATGTGACTTGTTAGCCGCTGTCATAAAACACATCATTCTTAATGTATTCCCAGTTTGTTAGTGATAGTATCCCACGCTGACAACCACTTTTGACCTGATCTTATACAGTTATTATTGTTCATTTTATGGTGCGATGCGGCCTTGTTTGCTTGTGTATAAACTAAGTGTATCTGAAATATACGATTTATACAGTGGAGGTTGATATTAATGTTCCAAACTGAATCGGGCTGGGTTAGGCAAGAAGCTAATATACAGAGGACCGAACGACCGTGTGAAAAACATTGGAGCTGACAAGCAAATATACGTGGAGGGCCTGGCAACGACAGCGGATAAAGCTGCAATAGGAGGAAATATGAAATAACTATATGATACAACAAAGAGGCTGGCAGATAAATTTAGTAAACTACGTCGGGCAGTCAAGAACAAAGAAGGCAAATCAATCACTGAGATTCAGGAGCAGGTTAACAGGTAGGTAGATCACAGGGAATAGCTCTAAAATAGATCAACTCCAATGAACACAAAGGAAATCGAAGTCGCACTTACAGACATTCCTATGGATGCTGCAGCACCAACAATAAAAAGAACCAGCAAGACCATCTGACAAATTAGAAATTCTGCAGTACCAGAACCAGAAACCACACCAACTCAATCACTCAATTTAGATATATTGGCAACTACGAAAATGTTCCTCTTAATTTAGAAATACCTAAGTTGGAGAACAAGTATCGACAGTCTGACAAGAGGGGCACCTCGTCAAGACACCGATGAGAGGAGATCTCAACATCTGTGAGAACTACAGAATCACAGAAGTATCACAACACCATTAGTATCAGGCAAACGTTTCAACAGTGTTACTGAACTGAGTGAAAAATCTAGTGGACAATCGACATTGAAATCAACAAACTAACAACAGTTAAAACGAATTAGAAATCGGCAGAATTATTTCATAACTGGGAAATAATTAGGTAACCCACATGTTTAAATGGGATTAGAAATTAAGTTTAGTAAATTTTCAACTCATTTCTATTTATCTTGTCATTTCTTAATGCAGTTAACATTTACTATCATTGATAGAAACGTCAAGAATTAACCGGTGACGTTTTTCAAGATATGAACTTATTCTTGAGTGCTGTTAAAGGTATGTAGGCGGTCATCGCTTCCCGGTTGCCCACACCGTGGAAGGGTTCTTCTGGAGGTACCTGAAAAAGAAACTGGATTAGAGGTGGTCTTAGTGATCCGAGAGCGTGACCGCAGTGTCCAAGGGACAACTACTTGAGGTCGGTCACACATGACCTTTTAGTGGGTAATTTTCATGTTACCTACGTACTTGTTGAGAAATTACCACCAGAGACGGCATCCGTGGGATAAGGTGAGGTGTGTATTTTTAGGGTCGACCTTTTCTAACCCCATCCCTCCTTGTGGGAAGGCAGCATCGCTGCAGATGCTGTCTGTCTGAAGGAACCACCCCTTACTGCTGTCACACCTCTGTACAGTCAGCAGTAGGACTTCGCCTTCGGACCTTGGATTTGCTGCTTTTAGTCTTATCACTCTTCAACCGACCTGTCTGACTTGGTAGAACATTGAGGGACGATTGTTCCAGTCAGCATAGCTCGGTTGCTTCATCACGATAGGCAAGCCCGACCACCACGTCAAGGTAGCAATAATGGTCATACCTCATCTTGTTGTGTTAATGAGGTATCGCAACTTGGACCGATGCACACATGTGCCTGGTCCTACGTTGTACCTGACTGATGAACTTATTCACACAATTGATAAATAATTAATCAGGTTATATATGCTAATATTATATGAATATAGTACAGTTTAGCTTACAATTTCATCGCATAAACGAATGCATTAGCCTACATATAATATTCTCTCTAATTACCATAAAACTACAAGGTTATCAACTAACACAATGTTAGATGGTTGTAGATAAACATGTATGCACTGTTAACCAAAATCAATGATATTCTACTACTTCATTTAATTTTATACACCCTCAACAGCCTACTGTGGGAAAGAGCAAACTAGCTTCCAGCTGAAGAGGAAATTAGGAAAAGACGATGAAAATGGATAGGACATATGTTACAGAAATTATCAAAGTGCATCACCAGCCAAGCCTTAACTTGGAATCCTGAAGGGAAGTGGAAAAGAGGAAGGCCAAAGAATATATTACATATGGAAATAGAAGCAGACATGAAAAGGATGAATAACAACTGGAAAGAGCTGGAAAGGATTGCCCATGACAGGGTAGGATAGAGCGTGCAAGTGGGCAGCATATGCTCCACCACGAGGAGTAACAGGTGTAAGTAAACAAATAAGTAACCTGCTATGGATATCAACACACTATAAGGCTTTCTGTATATTAAATTCAAAAGGAATCAATGAGAAGTGTAATATGACTCTAAATTCAGGAGATTAAAGAATATCAAAGCATTGGACGGAAATGTAATTGATTTAGGACAATATCACTTTTAGTTTTCAATTATACACAACGATTATTCTACAAATTTGAACGAGAAAATCCGGACATACCAACCAGGGTTAATCCAAACAATCAGTGATTTCATAGACTGATATTGTTGTGACTTTAAGGCCGGCTAATTATCACGTGATTTATTCGCCAATAGAAATACGACTTATACAATCTTAGCACTGTGCTAAAACTAATGATGTTCGACCGGTATGAGCAGGCTAGCGTCCATGTTGGTCCTTTGTTCGCCTAGCCCTGCAAGTTGAGTCCAGAAAACCAATAACAGCTTCCACTATGCGAATCATACTTGGTTTATATACCAGCCAAACAGACCTCATCACATCATAAAATACGAAATAACATTTATAAAAGATCTAGCCAAAAAGTGGCTGTGAACGTGGGAGATGGTAACCAATAAACTGAGTATAACTTAAGAACAGTAAATGGTATAAAAATAGTCTATAAGTTTATAATAAGAGGAATATAGATATACGTAATCTAGTTACTGAATAGTTATACAATAGGTATATATATAATATTAGTTCATTAATAGTTCTCAGAAGTTAACCGGAATTTAACCTTCACTAGGATATAACAGACATCATATCGTTGATTGACCATTCCCTGATTTCTTCGCACCTACGATTATTCCAGCCAGCATTGCATCTTGGAAGAAAAACTCGTAACGCATATTACAATTAAAAAAAAACTAATTATGTATGAAATTAAACTTCAGTAATCCAATTAGCGTTTCTTTCCTCATCTGACAGGATGTGAATAAATTGGAAATCAACATTTAAACTGTTGAACAACTAGACAGTAATGTGCCTACTTTGGATTATAAGTTATACTGTTATATCGTTGGAATAATTTTATTGAAGAATTGATTCGACCTTTGAGTCAGTTAGCGCAGATCATTCGTTTATTCATTTCGACTATCATTTCAGAATGGTTACGAATGAATTTATAGAGTCCTATTTGTGCTAAATCACAATCTATCTTAATCAATAGGACGATAGTGTCCAGTGAAATGCCCGCAGTTCAGCAAGATATAAAGTATTACTGAAGGAGTGTATTGCGCTGTAGAGACTCTGAAAATTCCTCGAAAACACTTCAAAGGAGCCTTGAATTCGCTGGGAAACATTGTATGCAATCAACATTGAACAGAAAGTGAAGACTCACATTTCTGATTGCCTATTCTGCTACTACGTTTAGTAGTGCTCCAGGACTTTCCAGAAGACCGGAGCCATCAGAAATGCCATAAATACCCTAAATTTACTGTACATAAAATAACATTGGAGTAAAGCGTTCTTTCTATATGCCCCTAAATGCCCTGGTACGGCCGAGAGTGGGGAGAGTCCGCTCTCCCTCTCGAAATGCTCTCACATGGCCACGCGTATATAGCCTTTGCCAGGGAAGTCCTACTCACTACCTTCCCTCACCAGGGGTGTTGTTTACGAAAATGAGAGGGCGAAAAGCGAATGTCCGGCGCTTTAACCGGATTCCAAACCATTGGTCCACATGGGCTCCAGTATCCTGAAGGAACAAATAGCGTATGAACCGATTGTTGGTCACCGGCTTCCATGGGACTGCATCTCCTTACGATGCTTCACTGCCTTGTGGATCAGACCTTCAGGTCAAAGGCTCGGAGTGTGGCCTCCTAAGAAAACCATCTGGTTCGGTTTGGGCACCCGGGCAGTATCATAGACCTCACACTTATCAAATGAGATTTGTGTGGCGCATATGCATTTAGTGCCTGTTTGTACCAATATCTATGTGTTAAAATAATAATAATAATAATAATAATAATAATAATAATAATAATAATAATAATCTATATTTCGTGCCTTTTCTCTCGTGTTCAAGTTGTCGTGTAGAGTTAGTCCGAGATTATTAGAAAAGCTTAGAAAAAATAATTGAAGCTTTCAGTCAGAAGATTTATCAGATGTCAGTATATAAGCAATTAGAATGTCTCAGCCAAATCTATTTATAAGTTCGAAAATTAAACTACGAACCTTTATTGAAATAAAATAAAACAAAACAATTCATTGATTCTTTAAATCCATAAACAACAAAGTATACAATCAAACTGGTATTTAAGAATAATAAATAAATAAAAAACATTACAATAAACAAAAGTAACCGATTTTCAATATGAGGTTGTGGAAGTTGTTAACTTTCATTGAAATCATAAACCGATCAAAGTTAATCCACTATTGAATTCAAATCCTATATGTGAAATTATAGATGTACACCGTTGAAGTGTCTTAATATTAGGACGAAATGGCCTTCTAGTACTTCCAGGTTTTCAATGGTGTTTTAACTTAGATCAATTCATGATTTCAATGCAAAAGTAGGCAAATTATTTAGATAATAAATGTGACAATAATTTATAATTTATTTTGTTTTCGGAAAAAATCGACAGTTAGGCAAGTTAAAATGGTGAGAAAAATTAAGAATATATCAATTATTATTCTAAGTATTATTATTAGTAGTAGGGAGTACGATCATTGGACAGGGTTGATCATGTTTACAATATTCCGTCCGATGAGACTGCTTCCTCTAGGAGCATGAGAGCTATATAGATGTATATGACTTGAGAGAATTAGATTCATTGTATCCTGTAAAAAGTAGGCAAACAGAAAGAACATGGTAAACAAATGAAAAGAAAGTATGATTTTGTATAACTAACACTTAAACATGAACAAAACTGTTATATCTTAAAGGTTGATTTCTTGATATACCGCGTATAACAGAGCACTAGAACACCAAAACCCTTCCAAGTCGCAGTAAGAAGACAGAAGACTAACGAAAGGAATACTATTCTAAACAGTGTCAATTATAGTACAAAATTGTCAGGTATTTATAGTTTTTAGTAAGAACGAAATCATCATTACAGTCCACCAATCCGCGTGTATGGGATTATTAGCATTGACCAATCAGGAGGCTACACGTTGAATTCTAGAATATTCTCCTGAAAGGTGATTAGATGGAATATCTTCGGCTCCTTCTGAGCCTCCTACAGCTTCCTCGAGCTCACCCGTGGTTCGTCGTCACAAAAACAATGAGAATCCCAAATAATTTTGTGATTTATTTCATGAAATGACTTTAGTTTAGTAATCATTGAAAGTGAAATGATTCTGCTTCATTTAGATATGAAACTTCACAACAAGGTGTACATACACCTATAATCATTGTTAGTATGGAAGGTATATGAAGAATGGCTGTACAGATTGATTTGAAAATCTTGGATTTAATCACCGGTGGGGTAATAGCATGAGCACTGTTAACGTATTCTCTAACAGAATAAAACAATTGTCCAATGTTGCTTGGTTTTCAATAAATGTCTAGCTGAATTCAGTTCATGTTGTAAACTGTGAAATGGTTAGTAATCTCTATAAATCCCTTACACATAAGTTTAATTGTTTTAAACTTATATAAAAAGTATGCAGTGAATAGAATTAGTGATATATTTTGTTAATAAAAACGTTTTGCATGAACAATTATTCCGACTTGGAAGATATAACTACAATAATTTACACATGGTATATATATAAGATATATTGAGATGGCTGGGACACGTGTAACGTATGGCCAACCAACGACTGCCCCGACGTGCGATGTTCAATGGTATAGGAGTAGGTTGGAAGAAATCTAGGGCTGGCCAGACCAAAACATGGCACAAATCCATCAACTCACTGACAAATAGACTGAGACATGTTGGCAGTTGTAGACTATCTGGTTAGGATCCGTGAGACGATAGTAAACGATGGTTAGAGACCTTGAATGACATAGCTCAAAATCGTTTGCAATGGCTCAGGTGCATCCACTCTTTGAGTTCTCCCAAATTCTAATCTTCTGAATTCTTCATGTCCCTTTATTTTTTCTCTTTCCAAATTTATTTCACTGGATTATACTCCTTGACTATCATCTTTAAACCCTAACGTTTCCGATTACTGCTTATACTTTTAATACCTCTACCACTATGGGATTTGAATCGACAATTGTATCTCTGTTGTCATGTGGTATGGCAACTCGAACTGATGTACATGCGTACGAAGTTCTACACTGTTACTGACTGACTATAAGATATGTAATAAAACAGTGAATAATGACCACAAATAACATTGTATTATGATAAAGAATAATCGAATTGAAACTTACTTAAATTGTGAATCAATAGGCCAATTTGGAGGTTTACGATTCATAATAGTCTGTAAGAACCAATCAGTAGATACTGTAAGTAATGAAGATAAAGCGCGTAAAATTGGAGTGGTTTGTTTGCATTCTTTTGAATTTCTTGAAAGTCGGGAAATTTTACAAGATGATTTCGAATTCAACAATAACATAGAATGATATTCTTCTTTAGTTGTGATAATAACTGATTTAATAGGCTAGTTAATTGCAAGAGTAAGAAAGAGAAAAAGAGATTACCATGGGAAAATAAAATCAGATCATAACGAGAAATCGAAATTTAAAAGAATTTTTTATTATAAACTGTGATATGAATCTTTGTAAAATAGCTGTGAATTACAAATTAATGTCTTCCTGAGGTTCAAAGGTTCTCTTGCTGATACTCACATCATACTAACATAAAATTGGTTGACAAAAACAAACATAAAAAGTAACCATTTCATGCACACGATAGGTTACTTTTATGAAAGGTTTTTTTCTTAACCAGATCATTGAATTCCAAATCGGTAGTTCAATAATTAGATAATATTATCGAGATGGGTTTTGTGGAGTTTTTTAGAAATTTCACTTGTTGGAATCATGAGTCATTTGAAGCTAGACCACCATGGAAAACCTGGAAGCACTGGATGGTCGTTTCATACTAGAATGAGAATCCTCAGCAGTGCATATCCGCGAATCCCGCGAGGTTTGGGATCGTGGACGAAACGGCCGTCCAGTGCTTCTAGGTTTTCCATGGTGGTCTAGCTTCAATCGACTCATGATTTTAACAAGTGAAATTTCTAAAAATCTCCACAAAACCCATTCTGATAATAATCACCTGCTCACTAGTGACTGACTTCAGGAGACACTCCTGAAGTTCTAGTGAGAAGTCGTTACCCGTGGAGTTCAACCAGGTTTGTTGTGAGAAAGGAACTCGCTGAAGACGATGGTGTACGGTGGAGCAAATTCGTGGATTGGTTGAAGTTGGACGTTAACACCGTCGGATGCCGGCCAGCTCAGTGGTCTAGTTGGTTAAGCGCCTGGCGCGAAACTGATAGGTCCTGGGTTCGAATCTCGCGGAGTGCTGGATCGTGGATGCACACTGCTGAGGACTTCCACACTAGGACGAAACGGCCATCTAGTGTTTCCAGGTTTTCCATGGTGGTCTAGCTTCAATTGACTCATGATTTCAACCAGTGAAATTAGATGATAATCATGAAACTATAATGTCCTATTCTGTTATAACGCTCGGTTACACTTTGTCTAATGTTATAACGGTTGGGTTTGCACGTTTACATGTATGGAACGTTAATTCACCTTAAACGATTATCTATACTAGATTCCCTCCCAGTGTCTATCCTACAGGACTTCAACACAACTCAGATGATCAAGAACACGTGGTTAACCTGACCACAACGTAAATATATTTCCACAGTAAAAACCCGACACAATCCAACAACAATGAACAACCAATAATAAGTGAGTGTCATCATAGTAATAAGGATAAGGGAATATATAACTCATCTAACACCTGTCAGACTATCCACATATCTGACTAAGCAGACAACCAATCATTATCATTCTCGCCCACACATCATATTCAATTTCTTAATACATATAATGATGGAGAATCCTAGTGAGCGAACTATGCTCCTCCCCGAGGGATAATAGGAGTACGTAAGTAAGTAATATGACATCATAAGTAGGAACTGTTGGATTTAGATAATACAGTTTTCTAATGGTTATTGTATTGGAATAATGAAATCTCCATACGAATTGATTACATAATATTACTTAAGTTTTTATCAAATTTTATCGATTAAGTCTTCATTTCATCAGTGTATAGGTATAGGTATAAGTGACTGAAAATCATATATTTCTACATTGATCGTTTAAAAACAATTAGAAGTCAGTGATAAGCAACATAGAAAATGCCATATGTGTGTGTATCAGTTGATTAGATAAAAATTATCAAGACAAAACTCAGAATAATAGAAGTAGTAACTGTATGGTTGATATAAAAAAGGAGATAAAGAGTAAATATGTCTATGCCATTGAAACCGATTTTTTAATCATGTGAACTAATTTCATCAACCATTTGATTACGATAATCTCAGACACTAACCTAGTAATCTGAACTGACCAATATAGAACTGATAAGTCTTGCGGACTGAACGCTATATTGGTCTCCTAAGCTATTCTGTAACCCCCAATCTAGAACTATACAGCGACCTGAACACGAGAGAGATGACTCGAAGTATGCGAGAAGTAGTTTACTCTAAGGTTCATTTTAATACAGAAAATAATATTTTAAATGTCATTGGGTTGCTAGAAAATTCTTGAATGCTACTAAACATAGTAGCAGTGTATCAGCCAGCCAATCAGAGCCTCTGCATGTGACGTTTCGCTTCCTTGATATTTTTGGCCGACTCCACGTGAACGCTGATTGGATGAAACGCTTCCTAGTGTTTCCTGATGCTTGCTTGTCTTTTGCAAGCAATTTTCTGGATCACCCCAACAAGAACAGATTAAAATTCAATGACTTCATAACTGATCCAATCTTTTAGTTAGAGTGTCTCTAGTTTCCTTCCAATCTGTTACTAGATCAGACAATCTCCCTCATCTGGATAAGCGGTGTTTGGATATATGTAACACTTGCCCTAATCACTTCATATTTACTGTGTACCTTGTGTTCAACTTCAGAATTGATAACTTAATGAATACAATATTCATGAGCAACGCTTCAAAGGAGTCTTGATCAAATTAGTAACAGGTTATAAGTATTCTCTTTTTTTTTGAAGATCTCATTTCACAGTCCTAAGTTAAAACAGAACGAACTGTTATGCAATATACTTAGCAATAACGAAAATACTAACAAAAAAATGAAGAAAAATAAGAAGAATCTTACTATATCATCCAAATTCTTCATAGCATTACATAAATCTTCATCAGACATCCAATAACCACCAGCAAACTCTGTAAGTTTTTGTAAATCCATAGAAGATGGTAAAACATTTGGAGTTGAACAAAAAGACCAACCACATAAGAATCCATTTGTTTCTTCAAATTGGTTTATTTGTTCATTTCTAGATAATTTCATTACAAATGAAGAATGACATCGTGTAGACTGTTCACTTGAAACTTTAGTATGCGTAGACTGTCTATTATAATAATGTAATTTAAAATTAAGTGGATCTGAGCATAGAATTTTATTGAAGGAATTCCATGTTGAAATTACATAAAGAAATATAAAGAAATCATAAAGAAAATTTTAAAACAGAACAATGAATAAACTAGAAACAAAAGCAAATGTTAACAAGTTAGTTGAAATTATTGTACGTAAGGAATTGTAAAAATGGATTGGATTAATTGCCTAACTTCGACAACTGGTGAAATAATCCTGTTTTGATTCATTCTTAGGTTAACTATAAATATTACTTACTTACTTACTTACGCCTGTTACTCCCAATGGAGCATAGGCCGCTGACCAGCATTCTTCAACCCACTCTGTCATGGGCCTTCTTTTCTAGTTCCATCCAATTCTTGTTCATTTTCTCATGTCTATTTCCATTTCCCGGCGTAATGTGTTCTACTTTGATCTTCCTCTTTTCCTTCGCCCTTCAGGATTCCATTTGAGGGATGGTCTTGTGACGCAGTTCGGTGTTTTCCTCAATGTGTGCCCTATCCACTTCCAGCGCTCCTTCCTGATTTCTTCCTTCGCTGGGATCGGGTTTGTTCTCTCCCACAGTAGGTTGTTACTGATAGTGTCCGGCCAACGAATCTGAAGTATTTTGCGTAGACAACTGTTAATAAACACCTGTATTTTCTGGATGATGGCTTTCGTAGTTCTCCAGGTTTCCGCCTCATACAGTAGAACTATCTTGACATTTGTATTGAAAATCCTGACCTTGGTGTTAGTTGACAGTTGCTTTCAGTTCCAGATGTTCTTCAGCTGTAAATATGCTGCTCTTGCTTTGCCGATCCGCGCCTTCACATCTGCATCAGATCCACCCTGTTCATCAATGATACTGCCCAAATACGTAAAGGCTTTTGCATTTTCCAAATCTTCTCCGTCAATTGTGATTGGATTGGTGCATGCTGTGTTGTATCGGAGGATCTTGCCTTTCCCTTTGTGTATATTGAGACCTACTGCTGCTGAGATTGCTGCTACACTGGTAGTTTTCTCCTGCATTTGTTGTTGCGTTTGCGATAGGAGGGCCAGATCATCTGCGAAGTCTAGATCGTCCAGCTGCATCTTAGATATCCACTGTATTCCTGTAGAAAACTAACTCGCTAAAAAGCGCTAACCAGAAACTATAAATATAAACATTGATTATAAATACTTTATTTAGGCTTTTTAATAATGCAGACTCCTATGTTATTTGAATCTAATACCGATGAATGGTTAAGCTGGAGTCAAGTATTAAGAAAGTAAATAGCAGCTGGATAGAACCGTAGACCATAGAAACGATTTTACTTATATATGATGAGATTAGTGAATACGCATTGTTAGATTGTCAACTATTGAAGTTTATAACGAATGTGTATAAGAGATAAAGCTGTACGTTGTTGACTAGGAACGCTGTCAAACATACAGTGGAGAAATCGAAATAGTATGCATGTAATTTTAAGATAAGATAGTAAATTATTCTTCTGAACCAAGTGAAGAACACGTATACTGTCGTAACACAACTGTAAATGTTACTCTGATGTGACGGTTGAGTTTGTCTATCTTAATGACCGCACCAAGTTAAACTGACTTGAACACTCGTCTATTGAGGTTCTATTATCACACACATGTCTGTTAGACAGTATTGAGACCAAAAAAAGTAAATCTAAGAGTTGACAGAAAAGTCACATTGTCCATGGTAGTAAAAATTCCTTCAAACAGCAACAATCTCAAAATATGCTGGGTTTTTTTGTTAAGAAAGGGGGGACTAGAAAAGGTCGATCATGAAGATAGCAAACCTTACTTTACTCCATGAAGTTTAGTTTGTCGATAAGCACGGAGATAATGCATCAAAAAGCGCTCATAGAAATCTTATATATGATAGGCTCCCAGCAATCGTATCCTGGGCTCTGTAGTGACGATCTGAGGCCGCCAAGATCACTCTTAACTTAGTCTCCTATTTTGATACCTCCAGAAGAAGTATTCTTTTACGAAGTTTTGGCAATCGAAAAGTGACAACTACTAAAATAACCTTCAAAGTGCCTGAGCTCACTATATTCATAATCAGTAGCACCGTAGAACTGAGTTGAATAATAAATATAGAATCATTCTATTTTGTGTTATCAGTGAGGTTGTTGATTGGATTTTAAATCAGACACAACGATATTTTAACAAAATTTTAAACGGATTAAATCAGTAACGTAATCTTTATGTATAACTTTTAATACTGAAATATATGCAAATTCAGTCAATGAATTCTGAATAAGATGAAAATGCCAGCCTTGAGTGCTGTTGAAAGCATGAGGGCGGTTATCATTCCCTGGTTGCCCATACCGTGGAAACGTTCTTCTGGAGGTACCTGAAAAAGAAACTGGATTAGAGGTGGTCTTAGTGATCTGAGAACATGACCGCAGTGTCCAAGGGACAACTACTTGAGGTCGGTCACATATGACCTTTTAGTGGGTAATTTTCATGTTACCTCCGTACTTGTTGAGAAATTACCACCAGAGACGGCATCCGTGGGATAAGGTGAGGTGTGTATTTTTAGGGTCGACCTTTTCTAACCCCATCCCTCCTTGTGGCAAGGCAGCATCGCTGCAGATGCTGTCTGTCTGAAGGAACCACCCCTTACTGCTGTCACACCTCTGTACAGTCAACAGTACGACTTCGCCTTCGGACCTTGGGTTTGTTGCTTTTAGTCTTATCACTCTTCAACCGACCTGTCTGACATGGTAGGACATTGAGGGACGATTGTTCCAGTCAGCATAGCTCGGTTTCTTCATCACGATAGTCAAGCCCCATCACCACGTCAAGGTAGCAACAATGGTCGGGATGAAAATGCACATCCAAAATTTTACAATGTTAGCTACTTTTTAAAATTAAACTAGGAAATAACAAATTATCATAGCTATGTGAAATGACAAACCTAGGCATAAACATAAAGAAAAAAATGAAATGAATTATTATTCACCTGGATTTGAAGCTTTACGAGATTGTTTACATGCTTTTAACCATTCCACTGAAATAATTGGTATACCCCGTGCTCTTGCATATAATACTTTTAAGGTACGTTTAATTTGATCAGTAATTAAATAGTCAGCAAGTGTAGGATCTTCTGTTTCAAATGCATTCAGTTTTTTTAGAATGTTTGAATAACTTGAAGATTCAACACCACTGAATACTAATTGAATGGGACTAGTCTGTGGAGAATAGAATATAAAATTATTATTATTATTATTATTATTATTATTATTACTATTATTATCATTAACAAAATGTTTCCTTTTCACAAGAGTTAAGAACCAATCGGTGTTTGAAGTGATGACCGATTATTAAAGAATAAGAGTGAGACCATAATTTATGGACGACCTTTGAGCGACGCTTAAGTGGCCTTGAGAACGTTAATTGTTCACCCTATTCATAACATGTCTTGATTATTTTTATCTGACTATAAATATTGAGTCACGCTTGATCAAATGGAGTTGGCTCACTCGTCTTTACCGCTGCGCGTCACTTCGTTCCTCTGATTGTCTGTTTGGATCAATAGGTGTCCGAAATATACTTATTCAAAACTCATTCTCATATTCAACTTAATTTATTCCATTATTCCGTAATGCAAATTAAGTCGATAAAAATATATGAGGATTGGTAGCATGCATATTTCGACAAAAATTAGGATATGATTTAACCAGAGTCGTATATAGGGCCACGAATGCCTCACTTGCGGTGCTGACGTAATGTACGACAAATCGTACAGATACACATTTATATCAGATAATATGTTGACGATAAGTGACAGATTAAAAGCTGGTTAAGAAGAATGGGATAATTGACAGTGTATTGACAATGAAAACTTAAGTTTTTTATGACCGAATACATGATTAAACGATACAAAAATACATCACGTTTACAAGTTCCTATTAATCAGATGAGTTGAATAGTACCAATTACATTACGCTATATCCCATTAAAATATTAGTTATTAATCAAAACGAAAACTCATTAATTTCGAAGAATTTCCTAATACACTGAGATGGTATCTCGTAATATTTCAGTTAATGAAAATAACTACTTAAGTGAGAACAAGTAGCATATTTTATATTGCAAGCAAAACTTACAGTGTTGGTTCTTGATGATCCAGTAGATGTTGAGGAAGTATTATTGAAATCAGTATTTGATATTTTAAGAATTTCTTCTTTCGGTTCATTTGTAGATGTTGTCATCCGTCTTTTTCGTTGATTTTCTGCGGTACTTTCTGGATTTAAATTGATTAAAGCACTACTCCTAGTCCTTCTACTATTACTAGTACACTTATCTTCTGGAATACTCACAATAGGTGGCATATGCTGCTGCAATGTTGAAGTAACAGGAAGGGGAGCTTTAATACAATTTCTATCAGACTGTACAATAAGTCGTGTAGATCGTCGAATAGGCATTTCAAGAGAGTTATTATTCACTTCAAATTTTGACTTCCTCGAATTCTGTTTAATTGTTTTATCTGTCGGCAATGATAGATTATTTTCTTTGGGTATAGATGATAATGTTTTCCTAGTTCTGCCTACCTTATTATTATTATTATTATTAGAATTTTTGTGTACCAGGCAATCCTTACTATCATTATCAGCACTATTATTGGTAGCTGAACTAGTAGTAAGCGATGTGAATGCTTTTTTTCTAGTTGTACATGAATTTCTCAGGTTTCTTTTAGGTTTCATTAAAACAGGTGATGATGTACATTCATCAGACAACGATGTTATTGGTAAAGTAGAAGTAGGAAATAGTGGACTAAACTGTTGTTGTTCATTATTGCTTTTTGCTTCGATACAAATTTTAGCATTAAATGAATTAGGTGTAAGATCAGAAAATGATGGTAGAGATAGGCGTTCACCAATATTTAATGTATTCTTCACTAGAGGATCCTAAATTTGGAGGGAAAAAATAGATGGTAAATTTTGAAAGAGACAATAACAGTGAATATATTCTCATCAAACGACGATAGGAAAATATAAAAATATAGACCTTTATAATAGAAAGTTCAAAGAATTTATCAAATTTTTACAATATTTACGTTTATGTATTCGGTTTTGAAGTATACCTTTTTCATGCATAAAAGTTGATGATACTATCCGTTGGAAAAAAACAAGACAAGGAATTATAATCTACTAATCCATCAAAATGGTTGAACGATTCTGTGGTTGGGAAAGAATTAAGTTAATCTCTAAATATGTAACAATATGGAAAGAATTTGCCGAGGCTAGTCATATTTGTGTGTAGGTTATTGATAATGTTCAGACCCTTAGACCGAAGCAATTGGTTTCTTTTTAGGAGAACCACTTCCTGAGCTTTCGACAGAAGGAGTTTATGCTACAAGATAGTCGAGCAACTTAAAGAAATGCAATCTTAAGGTACTAGGTGATCAAACTAGGTTAATATGCCATTCGTTCAGTCATGATCTTAGATCCCAAGTACATTACTGGTTTAGAATAAAGCAAATAAAGAGTGGGAAAGCAGAAGGATCTGGCAATATACCAGACATAGAAGCAACTGAAAACATGCTCCATGTTCTATTCAGGAAGATTTGAGAGCGAGAACGAGAGCCGTTCGACTGGAAGTAGATAGGACACACATTGAGGAAGTTATCAAGCTATATCACCAGGCAAGCCCTAACTTGGAATCCTGAAGGGAAACGAAGAACAGGAAGGTCGAAGAACATACTGCTCTGAGAATTGGAAGCAGACAAGAGAAGGATGTATAGTAACTGGAAAGAGCTGGAAAAAAAATTGCCCAGGACAAAGTTGGATGGATGATGCTGGTGAGCGGCCTATGCTCCTCTGTGAGGGGTAATAGGCGTAAGGAAGTAATTACAGAGAGGTAAAAGACATAGTTTATATTGTAACTTACATTCTCCGGTGATTCATCAAAACCAGCTAATTTGACAGCAGATTCTAAAATACATGATTTATTTTTATGGATATTGTTGTTGATAGTTTTGATTGCTGAATTATTTGTTTTCGATGGAGAAATATTTGATTCATTTTTCATTTGTTCTAATTTTTCATCAAATAATTGAGAAGGTTCTTCGCTTAAAATACTTCCTGATAAATGTAATGGACTAGGAATATGTGGTGCACGAGGTCGATTATAACTTGATTGATTAGTAACTTTTTTAGTATTACAATTGACATCATTATCATGATGTATAAGAGACCATGAACACTTCCAATCTTGTAGTTCCGAATCTGAATTAGGACTATCTAAATGAATTGATGAAATAACTGATGTGAACTTTTGTTTGTTTTTTCGACTACGAAACTTTACAGTACCTAAAGAACCTGGTAAAGTACAATTGGTGACACGTTCAGTGGGTCGATTTCGGATTGATCTAGTGGAACGAAATAATGAACATTGTTCAATGTAACGACGAAGTTTACAATCATTATCATCAGGTGTTAATTGAGATCGCTGGGATAGAAAACAGAAAGAAATATAAATTGTTAGCATTCATAATCTTTGGTAAAAAAAATCAATATACTAAGCGAAACCAGTTAAACGGGATCCTGGTTCAGCGGTTTATTATAATTATTATTAGCTTTATTCAATATTATATTTTGGGTACAATATAGAGTTCTGAGTACAAGGTATTTCAGCGAGCTTCCGTTTATATTTATTATTATTTATTTGAACATATGAATATTGGTACAAGAGAGCGCCAATATATATGAGCTTCCGTTACCTATTTCTTGATCGATATTGACGATAAATATTGAATGATTGCCAGTTAGATATGAGTGTTTCAGAGGTCGACATCTGAATAATATTCATTCTTTTCAATGCATATTGCCAGCCATCACGATGTCTCCGATTTTAAACTTTTGTAACTTGTACAGCGAAGGGTCGTAAAATTTTCACAAACACACCCGAACAGGTTAGCGTTTGCATGTGAAACCGAGAGTCCTTGGTTCGACTTCAGCGTGTAGGGTTGTCGATGTGCACTGATGACGAAACGACCATCTAGTGGTTCTAGGTATTCAATGATTGTCTAATTTAATCGGTTCGTGATTTCAATGAATTTCAACAATCTCAACAACTCCATGCTGACAATTAAATAAATGTTAATATATTTCACTAAACGATTAGCAGAATATCGACCAACTCTCTGTTATTCAGTATTCATTACAAACACTCTTATAATCATTAATATTCATTTAAGACTAGTTGTAGATTGTTCTATTCGAATGCATAATATATGTGATAATATAAGTACAATAAAAGATCATAACGTATTACAATTTATCAATCTCAATATGTTTTACAATAAATAATAATTCACTGATCAATTGTATTCCAAACATTAACAATGGGAAAATCTAAACATTTACAAATCAATGAATTAGGTTAGATCCAGTCAGTCAGTCAGTAACAACGAAGAACTTCGTACCATAGTAATCAACACAATCGCATTATTAGAAACCGACCGTAGGTGGTACCTTGATGTGACGGTCGAAGAGACCTTATCGACCTATGTTGTCTGGATTACGTTTTCCCATATCCTAGAACATCAGGTAGGTCGGCTGGTGAGTGGTAAGACGAAAAGCAGAAAAATTAAGATCCCAAGGAAAAGTTGCAGTGATTACTGTAGTGGAGTGTAACAGCAGTAACAGATTTCCCTCAGACAATCAGGATCTCCAGAGATCCTAGAGAAATACAACGCTACGAACAACAAACAGTTTAACATATGAACTTCAGTCGCCGGATGTAAATCTCAAGATTATGGAACTAATACATCGAGAACTAGCAAAAAAGGCCATATGCGACCCATCTTAAACAGATGTCTAGTGGGATTCGAAGTCATGGTCACATATCACTAATAACAGCTTTATTTTCAGGTTTATCAAGAAGAAATATCCTTTCATGAAGTGAGTGATAGCTGCCTCCCCCACCCTTCTATTAACATTTAAGATTCGGTTTAATGTTAGTTTGAAAGCATGAATATAGTGATTTTCTCCATTAGAAAAACAACGAAATATTTGTAATCAAACCACCGTCTAGCACAGACAATGCAACATCTTACCTATAATCATTTGTTTTAATTATACATTTTATTGATCACATAATTAAACCTCACTATCGTAATTTTATTGTTAACAAAATAAAGCGATATGAAATAAAAAGAGTATAAAACTAACCTCACTAGTAACATCACACTTAGATGAAGGTATTGACTGGGGTATATCAGTTTTTGCCAGTTCTGAGACAGTTAATCGTTGTTGTTCAGTGTGTAAAGGACTTTCAACAGATTGCTCCATACTTAGCTGATTTTTAGACTTCGAATTACACCGTTTTTGTTTTGTAATAGTATTTGTTTTATAATCTGTGCCCCGTATATTACGTTTTGATGAAGTAAAAAGACTGGATTTAGTGTTTTTCTTCCTAATATTATTATTAATAAGATTGTTATATTGAACTTTTTCAGACAAAATCTCAGTATGAATTATATCCGATCCCCATTCTTGAGATAAAACGATATCAGCCTTCTTCTCTGAAGAATTATGCTTTATTGTAAAAGATAATGAACATGATTAGCGAGAACCATACCATATATATACCAATTGAACTCATTAGATTTTTTTTAAGAAAACCATATATGTTACTACCATATATTACATAAGTAGTTTCAGATATTCTTGTGAATTAATCATGATTATTAGTTCAATCGAGGTCATTAAAAGATTATCAGGAGCACAGTTTATTTCAATTAATTTTAACTAAAGCTATTTCATTAACTAAACAACTATCATGTATAGAAAACGTTGACACATATTAATTATCAACCAGTATAACTAACAATGTGTATTATAAGTAGAAATGGTTAGTGGCGAGCAATGGAATCAAGGAGGCGCGTTTAGTCCTACTTGGGACTCGTCAGCTGGATGGAACTGCATCCTAGAGTTGGTATTTACTCCCAGTACCGTTCGCAGGTACATCCAGCTGACGAGTTACAAATAAGATGAAAATAACCTCCTGAATTTCACTACAACCCATCATCCATCTCTGTTTATAACGCTTATGATATAAGGCAATTTCGAGGCAATTCACACAGGATGCACATATGTCAATGATGGATCAATTGAAGTCCTAAACATCAATGGGAACATTCAAAAAATCAATACAAAAACAGATTATCAATGAATACTTTTCGATTCTCAAGACTACTCAGCAGTTCAGTAACTCAGAAGGAAAGTTGAATAATCACAGTTACAATTATAAAACTAGAAATTTCCACAAGATAGGTACGGAAAATATGAGGCGGCGTCTTAACGTCTACAGTAATTAACTTTAAAATTAATGTGCCACAGATTTGAACCTCGATCCATCCACTTTTACTTAGGTAGTAGAGTCGCTTCATTAACCGTTGTACAAATAGTGTGGCTTATATAAATAAATACATAGTGAACAAGAGTTCGGACCTGCGATCTACGAGTTGAGAGTTGTGCGCTCTAACTGTTATTAATAAGATATAGTCTCAAGGTTAACTGTGGGCAGGAGTCATGAAAAAGTACCCATGTTTCGCGAGCATAGTTGACTTTACAGTACAGCCAAAATACTTCTATTCCCAGTGTAATACGATAAATATCAAACAAGAAAATTCAAAAAATCATAATTATTATGATAAACTTCCACCAAAAAAGGGTGGCAGCAGGTGGTAAAACATTGTTGTATCTTAGTCTGTGATAAGATTAAGTGATTAAATCATTCCAAAAGACTCATTTGGCGATAACAGTGAGTAACCTGTGGATCTAACTAGGCTGGAGGTGCGAATATATGATAAATAAAACAGAATGTGTAGTATCATGTTATCCCACAAACTGACTAAAAATAAAAATATGGAGAATTGAATACCAACTAAGTGAATTAAAAAAACAGAGCTTGTCAAAAAGAATTTGAATACCGTTGCTTTATGAACAAGCAATGTTGAGATGTACCAGACAAGGATGAAACAGCTGTTTACTAATACTTTCTAAACCTTATCACTTACGTTGTTGTTTTGCTATTCAAGCTCAATATCGTACTTGTACAACCATGATTTATTTAATAGATTTGGGTTGGGCTGGAAAAAATTGGAATGATTTTTGCTTAAAATTTTTACTTAAACTTAAATATTTATCTAGAATCATATACTCCGAAGACAGTAATCGTTTGAACAATGAATAGTTAGAAGGAAAATGCATACTAATCGAAGAGATGTAAGGAAAAACGACGAAAAAAACAATAACAACAAACAAACAGCAGCTATTGGTTGAGATCTTGAACCGATTGGTGTTAAACCACCACTGGAAACTTGGAAGTACTGGATGGTCGTTTAGTCCTATTGTGGGACTCCCCAGCAGTGCAGCATCCACGATCCCGCATCCCGCGAGATTCGAAACCATCTTCCATTGTAATGAGGTTGGTGGTCGCGTAATTTCGTGGATTGGTTGAGGTTAGACATTAAAACCGTTGGACGCCGGCCGGCTCAGTAGTCTAGTTGTTAGGCGTTCGCGCGCGAGACTGAAGGCTCTGGGTTTAAATCCCGCGAGCGAGGTTGTGTACGCACACTGCTGAGGAGTCCCACAATATGACGAAACGACCGTCCAGTGCTTCCAGGTTTTCAATGGTGGTTTAGCATCAAACGGTCCAAGATCTCGATCACTAACTTAATAATCTCCAAAAACCTTATACTGATAAAACAGCAGCTATGACAATAATAAAAATTATAAAACTAACTTCATTAGTTTTAAAAGGTGAATCATTGTGAATATTTTGATCTTTATTAGATATACTACTGTTATTAAGAAATTGATCATCTTGATTTTGTATGCCATAATGAAAAATTTGAAGATTTTCTAAGGGCTGTAATGTTACTGTAATATTATCACAAACAATATCATGATCGTTAACAGTGATCAAGCCACAATGTTCGTTCTTATTATTGATAATTGTAGTAGTAGGAGTTGTTGCTGTACACGAGTTAGTTGATTCCACCTGAAAAATATTTAAAACAATAACAAGAGAAAAAGAGAACTAAACAAACATAAAATTGGTCAATAATCAGTGATGATTAATTATTGTTAAATATCTAAATCTTATAGGAGGCCAGTTAATGTTTCAATAGCTCCTTGGTAGTATTGTGGAGCGCGCTACTTATATTGATATAAGTAGTATATAACGCGAGTCAGGAATGTAATGCCTGGCAGCAGAAGATGGGGGAAGATAAAGAAAGCAAGAGCGGAAATAGAATGCAATTTGTATGAAAATGCAAGGACAATGAAGTCTGAAGCATTTTGAAACAACTGATAGTAGTTACTTCAATAGTAGTAATATATGAAATAAAGACTGTATATAAGAATATGATACAAGGAGGAAATCAATTCGTAGAAAGAAAGGTGAAAAGTAATTTCGACCTCACGGTTCAAGGAAAGACAAAAAGTGTATACACCTACACCATTGTGATCAATTCTGAGCCATGTCACCCAGAGTCTCCAACCATTGGTTACGATAGTCACGTGGACCCCAACCAAGTAGTCTGCATCTACCAACATGGCTCATACCAGAAGTTAGTGACTGTATGGACTGATGCCACATTTTTGTTTGGCCACCCCTAATTTTTTTCCAACCATCCCCAACACTAGTTAGCATTGCGCGTCGTGGTAATCGGTGTTCAGGCATACGTAATACGTGGCCCAACCATCTCAGTCGATGAAGATTCACAACCTCATCAACTGATTTACCATCATTCCCTAATATCCTGTGTCTAACCTCACTATTACTTACCCGATGATCTCAGCAGATGCGAGCAATATTTCTAAGGCATCTGTGGTCAAATACTAGTAGCTTTCCAGTATCTTCTACCCGTAATGGCCACGCTTCGCAGCCGTAAATTAGAACATAACGAACTGCTGCTCAGTATACTCGTTCTTTTATTGATGGGTGGGTATCTCGCCTTTGCTTTAGGTGAAGTAAGTTGGCAAAAGCCAAACGAGATTTTCGAATCCGTGTTGAGATTTCGTCAGACACCAACACATTAGGGCTGATCAGACTGCCAAGATAAGTGAAGTTGTCAACGCGTTCCACTACTTCACTTCCTATCCTTAGTTCAGGTGTTGATGCAGGCCAGTTCGGGAGCAACAACTCGCATTTAGAAGGAGAGAAGCGCATTTCAAACATTCTGGCATTGTTACTCAGTGCTACCAAAACACTCTCCATTTTATCAGCGTCTTCACCAAACACGACTATATCACCCGCGTATTGTAAGTTGATAAGTGGACCTCCTGGTAGGAGATCAATGCCCAAAAATTCACTCTCATGTATGAATAAAAATATCTACCAGATAATGTCAGTGGTCCATAATGAATAAATTTGCCATTGAACTGCACAAATTCCAACAACAAAAACTTATTTTAAATGAAAACATAAAGCATCCTACCTGTATATTTTCTTCTTTTTCTGGACAAATACCATTGAATATTCGTGATTTTCTTGAACCGTAATTATCATCAACTACAATTTGCAAAGAATCATTACTTATTACTGATTCATTCACATGTTGAACTGTAGATTGACGATCGGAATTTGAAGTGAACTCATTATTATTATTATTTAAATCAACAGATGACCTGTTTAGAATTAGTTCATTTTTTCCAGTACCACTGGTTTCATATATGCTAGAAAAAAACAACAGTACGTGATAAGTAGAAACGTCCAACCTGAATAACAACATAATAAACGCGAGTTATATATGAAGGCAGTAGACTTGATCGATAATGTACATTTAATATAGAGGAAAGTTAAGTTGAAACTTAAGATCACACAGATGGTAGATTAGAGTACATGAGTTAATAGACTGGAGACTAGATCACTTGATTAGTAAACTAGATAATAATAGATCACGATACTATGCGTCAACTGAGCTCAGATACACAAAGTCCAACTAAGAATTGGAATCAGACAATGGGACAGGATGATACTTCATTGACACAAATTACAATCCATCAATAGAGTGAGAGAGATGTCTGATTTGTATGTCGTCATCTCACAATAGCACTCTAACCCTTACCTTAACTGGTTTAAGTATATTTAGTACTTTGTTTACTACAAAAATAGCTTTGAATAATTGAGAATAACAAACAGAAACCAGTCTGAAAAAAACAAACAAAATAAATACCTTTTAGTTGCATTGCTTGTCACTAGATCACTCTCCTCAATAGTAAATACTGACTCTTCAGCAGACAAACAAGTAGACGAACGAATAGTCAATCCAAAATGATTATCCATTGATTGAACAATACAACCTGGATCAGAGTCTCGTGCAAGTAAGACATTTGCTCGATTGTATGTTAAAGGAGTTGAAGCTGTTTCGTTTGTTAGGATCATAGGAGTAGCAGAAACAACATCACTAGATGAAAGATGATTTTTAATCGATTTAGTCAACAATTCCAATGGAGTAGCATCAATGATATAACCTTTAGATTTCCTGACAGATTCTGTGGTTGATGAATCTTTAAAAAAAGTAAAACAGAATTTGGTCTTACACTGCATTCAGTATTTAAAGTATGAGCGCAAATCATAAGATATCCCTGTAATGATAAACATTATTTGAGAGATATTCTAGTTAGATAATAAACAAAAGTATCTCTTTTCATTAGAATGAAAGGTTTATGGAAAGTGTTTAACATGACTAAAGTTTATATCACAACTAAACGACCATTGGAAGTCAGAGAGCACTGGATAGCTATATTTGTTCTATCATGCGACCTCTCATCAGTGCGCACACCATCACCTTACCGGTGGTAGGAAATCACAGCCTTAAGCCTCGCATAGAGAGAAATTTTAATAGTAGTGTAGCTAAAGTCTTTCCGTGACGTGAAAAGATACTTTACACCTTGACTACACATTTGAGTGCAATCCTGTTAGGATCTAAGGCATGCCTTGTTAAATCTCCTCCAAACAGAACAATATAAATGAGTTATGATGGTAGATTACTTTAAAATTATTTGATAAATTCAACTTTAGTTAACATAGAGTAATAAATAGACAAGTATTTCATTAAACAGCTTCCTTACAGTAAGTTGAAGAAAGATTACGACCGATAATAATTTAATATTTATATACCACACAAAAATTAAGAAAACAAGCAGCCTGAATAATAGAAAAGATGTGTCGGAGACGGTAGAAAACAAACATGGTTTTTTTTACTGCAGGAAGTATTTCAATCACTTTTACATTGAGTCATGACTAATAAATGCCGTGCTGTCTGTCAACGTCACAGTTAACTTCTAACAGAGTAATGGTTAGGTTGATGATGCATTTAAACATGGTTAAAGGTTTGTTAAACGTGGTACAACAAGCAGAAAAATATATTCCAAATTCAGTGACTTCAAGAACTTAAGAATATTTATAAACTACGTATATGTACAAAAGGGTCTCATACAAGAAATAATTAATTTGCAATAAAAAAGTTGGAAAGACTATGTAGTAAACTTATGACGAAGTGGTGCTGCCTTATAAGGCGTGATCAAATGGTTAAACCATGTACGAAATAAATAAGTACGGAAATGTGTAACTAAGTCAATTAAAAATAACTTCAACAGTTGAGATCATGAGTCAATTGAAGCTAGACCACCATGGAAAACCTGGAAGCATTGGACGGCCGTTTGCGTCCTATTATGGGACTTCTCGGCGGTGTATATCCACGACCTCGCCTCGCGTGATTCGAACCCAGGACATGTCAGTCTCACGCGTGAGTGCTTAACTACTAGACCACTGAGCCAGCCGAAATCCAATGGTGTTCATGTCTAACATCAAATAATCCACGAAATTGAGCGACACATCCACAATTGTCATCAGTGAATTACTATCTCACAACTATTATTATTTCACACTATTATTCAACTTCATATAGTAGATGCTGTCAACCATTTACTCTATGAAACTTGTTTTTATTATTAATAATTAATTATTTCAGAAGGGGTTTTGTGGAGATTATAGTAATCTCAATAGTTGAGATCATGAGTCATGAGTAGTGACCAGTGGAGTTCAACTGGGTCTGTTGTGAGATAGTAACTCAGTGATGACAATGGTGAATGTGTCGCTCAATTTCGTGGATTAGCTGAAGTTAGCCATTAACACCGTAGGATGCCGGCCAGCTCAGTGGTCTAGTTGGTTAAGCGCCTGGAGCGAGACTGATAGGTCCTGGGTCCGAATCCTGCGAGGCGGGGTCATGGATGCGCACCGCTGAGTAGTCCCATAGTAGGACGGAACGGCTGTCCAGTGCTTCCAGGTTTTCCATGATGGTCTAGCTTCAATTGACTCATGATCTCAACCGTTAAAATAACTGTATAATCAGCGAAGGGGGAACTCCGTGAAATCGATGATTTTCTGCAAACAAGTCGTGTTATTTATTTTAATGTATACTTTTTATATCACTTAATCTTTGCATGTTTTATTACAATTCAAGAAAATGTTTCATTTTATTTATCACTAAATAGAAGTTGGGTAATTTCGGCATATTTCTTAATGCTTACATTCCCCATGTTTATCCTCAAGCACAACAAAGTGTATTTACATTTGAATGTATGCACTTAAAGTGAACTAATTCAGCTGTGTAGTTGTACAATATAGACTATATGTTATGCAACAAAAATGATATGACAATAGAAGTAATCTTAGAATAAATGAGGTTGAAGGCGAATATCCATTATTCAGTGTAACAAAAACCTCATACAGTAAATTTTCTGAATTTTTACGATTGAAATCAAACGTGTGAAAGGAATCCGAGCATAAAATAGTGTTAATATTTAGTTAGAAAGACATTGACTGTAAAAGTGTAAAAGAAAAAGTAGAAATGGTATGTATTACAAGTTGTTTCAGAAAATCCTTTAACGTATGGGTAACTGTGTTACACATCAGAGATTTGTGATTGCCTAATTATGATTCAAGAGACTGAAGTTGGTTGCAATAAACGTTCTCTTCACTGCTGTAGTCAGTCTATAGGTTGTCTGTCTATCGTACTCAACCCGATCTATGGTGATTCCCCAACTACAGGATAACCTACCTGGTTATGCCACTTCCATGTGCATTTACAAATTCAGCTGCTCCTGTGGAGAAAGCTATGTTGGACACACTACCAGACAACTGAACAAAAGAGTTAGTGAACACCTCCCTTTGTGGTTAAGAAAAGGTTCTGCCAAGTCAATACGCAGCTCGGTTCTATCACACTCGATCGATAGTGGCCATGTAGTAGACAGAAATAAGTCATTAAAACTTATTTATCGTATTCCTATTAGTTTTCCTTATGGTGTTCGATCTCGTCTCTTACACATATCAGACGCTATAGGAATTCGAGCCAACAATCCAAGTCTTTGTGTTCATAAGAAATTTGTAACACCCTTCTTATCTTTCCCTTAGCCTTAATAAATGATTTTATTTATTATTATGAATGTTATTTCAGTGTCTATATTTTTTTCTAATCATTGACCTATTTCCGATTATTTAACATTGATTCAAGCCTTTATTATTCTTATCACAACTAGTACACCTATCATCATAGTACTAATTTGTACTTTTCACTTATTTATGTAATCTATTCCATTGTTAACATTGACTCATAAACTACCTTGATTGGTTTAATAATTTCGTATGTGCATATAAATACATTACTGTATATTAGAGTACAGCCTGATGATGATTAAGCCGAAAACAATATTGTTCTAAATATTATATATATTTATCAGATAGTGTCCTTGTATATTTACCGTACTGACTGATTAGACAAGCGATCTTTCTGTCTATTACTTCAATCTATTGTCATTTCTCCAGTATTGGCGATTGCCACTAAGACTGCAACCCAGTATAACTTTTATTCCAAATGCTAACACACATTATCTGATAATTTACTGAGCCCAGAGAGCCAGTAAACTATTCGACGAGTATGAAAGTATCAGTGAAAAGGTTTGTGACATTTTATATTGCAAATAAAATAATAAATAAATAGAATGTTATTTCCCGAGCTCCCGATTTTGGGGATTTCCCCAGGTCTGGGGAAATTTTGGGGTTTTTATGCCATTTCCCCAAAATTAAGAGCTCGGGTTTAAACAGAAATAAACTAATTTGCTATAGAACAAGTAAACAGTCAAAAGATGATAAACGACAAATTTTAGCCTACTTTGGTTTGATTCACTTTCTAAATGAACATCATTTTCAGTATGCACATAAGTTTACAATTTTTAACTGATGATGAACTTTCGTGCATTTCATGTTGTAACAGATTAATATCATCTTCATTTTTTAAAAGTTCAGTTTTTTTAACATCTGAATCTGTACTGCTCGATAAAGAAGGTGAATAACTATCAATGAAGCGATTGGGATTTGGCAATAAATCTTGTGAAACTTCACCAGTATTTACAACAATTTCAGCTAAAAGACGTTCACTAAAAACTGAACAATCACTGTCATCGTTATTATCATCATTATCATTCTGTTTGGTTGAAAAATTCGACTGAACAGATAATTGATTTTCTGTCTGGGAATAATGAAGCTGACAAGATGTATCCTGATTAGTTTTCTAAAAATCAATAATTCAAATAATATTAGTTCACATTACAAACTGATATTAACTGTAGGAAGTGTGAATTAACTACTAAAAAACTAGGGGGAAAATTGGATAACTGTTTGCAATCTAGTCTGAAATTTTTCAACGGGTGTTAGAGATAGTTGGAAGAGAATTAGGGGCGGCCAAACCAAAACGTGGCATCAGTGCTTGAAGTCACTAACTTCTGATGTGAGCCATGTTGGGAGATGCAGACTACTTGGTTGGGGTTCGCGTGACTATCGTAACCAATGGTTGGAGACTCTTGGTGACATGGCTCAGAATCGATCACAATGGCGTAGGTGTATACACTCTCTGTCTTCCCTTAAACTAAGAGATTAAAATTGCTTCATATCTTTCTTTCTACTAACTAATTCTTTCTTCCTGTACTATATCCTTATATGCAATCTTTCTTTTATATATTACCACCACTGAATTAACTACTATGAATCCGGTGTTCATCTTACCGTGCCAATTAGGTATGGCAACTTGGACCGATGCATATATGTGCCTGGTCCTACGTTGTAGCTGACTGACTGACTGAGTCTAAAATTTCTCAAAAGAACACTTCCATGAACCAACATCAAGGATCATTACCATCTAACCACTGCGAAGAATTCCTCAGAACTATGGAATAATTAATAGCAATGTATGACGATGACAAAATAACAAAAATAACTTGAGGTGGAAATAGATTATTCAAAGTATGGTTGGAGTTTTGTAAGGATTGAGTAAATTTTTAAGTTGTATTCGCTACAGACTGATCTCAGTTGGGGTACCATTTCGAACAAGAAGGCACTGGACAGTTGTTTAGTCCCAGTATAAAACTCAATGACCCCATTAGCAATCAAGTCAAGGACCTTTAGGTTCAGAAGCGAACCCTGGTACAGCACTAGCTTCAGTCAATTTGCAATAAAGAGCGAAGATCATCGAATGCCATCAATGACAATTATTTACAAGTATACACAAGTTAGAGTGTGCATAAGACGATTCATTATGACCTGACTACCAAAACAATGTATACGTTTGATAAATTATGATAAGTCTTCTATCTGGACGCTCAAATCGCTCTCCTAAACCCTTTTAATAACCCCAGGCTAAATCTACATGACAACTTGAACGACAGAAAAGGTGAGAAGTGTGAAAAGAACGTTTTACTCCAAGGTTAGTTTATGTACAGAAAGTCGGGGGTATTAATAGCATTTCAGATGACCTTGGGCTTCTTCAGCAACAGTAAACATAGTAGCAGGATAGGTAGTCATCCAATAAAAAAGTGTGACAAGTGACTCTTCACTTTCTACATATTTTTGTGAAACTTCCATTCAACACTGATTTTATAAAATGTTTCCCAGAGTTTTCTGAGCCCATCTGGACTTTTTCGAGGAATATTTTGAATTTCCTCAATAAATCATCATTACTGAATTCTAAAAAGTATGTTCACTTGGCAAACTTGAACTACAGTTAAGTGCTTTTAAGGATTAATCAACAACGTCAAACAAAAATCTTGTTTTGTTCCACACTTAATCAAAAACTTATTTTCTAGCCCAGTTAAAAACTCTCAAATAGTATAAAAATATCTTTATTGCCTGATACTAATGGTAATGTGATGCCTCTGTGGTTCTCATAGATGTTGAGATCTTCTTTCATCGATATCTTGACAAGGTACTTCTCTCTTCCTAGACTGTAGATTTTTATATTTTATTTTATTTTTATTTGAAAACAAATATTGGTACAAGAGGGCACCAAATATATATGCGCCACACTTTTGTGTGCGAGCTGAGATACTGTCCGGGTGCCCGAACCACAGCAGGTGGTTTTCTTGGGGGGCCACACCCAGAGCCTTTGATCTAAAGGTCTGACCCACAAGGTGGCGGAGCATCGTGAGGAGATGCAGTCCCATGGTAGCCGGTGACCAACAATCGGTTCATACGCCATTTGTTCCCGCAGGATACTGGAGCCCATGTACACCATAGATTTTGGATCCGGTTAAAGCGCCGAGCATTCACTTTCGTCCTCTCAATTTCGTACACAACGGTAATGCCACGAGAAGGCAGTGAGTAGAACTTCCCTGGCAGAGGCTGTATACGCGTGGCCGTGTGAGAGTATTTCGAGGGGAAGGGCGAACCACCCGGTCTCGGCCATACCAGGGCATTTGGGGGCTAGACTGTAGATACTTGTTCTCCAATCTAGGTATTTCTAAATAGAGTGAAACATTTTCGTAGTTCCCTCTATATGTAAATTCAGTGATCCTGCTGTTTTGCCACTTTTGATTCGTCTTACAGTCCTGCTGATTTTTTCTGTTGTGGGATGGGTTCTCACTTATTGAGGTCTATATGCTGATCTGATGTCTGACAGGTCTAATATGTCGGTCGGTTTAAAAGTTCAAAGTGCTCCACCCACCTGTTCCGCTTCTCTAGAACCTCAGTGAATTGTTTCCCTTCTCTGTTCATGACTGATACGCCTGATCCACCATAGTTCCCTACTAGTGTTTCAGTTGTACCACTTAGTTCCTTAAGATTTCCTCCTATTACCGTCTTTTCCAATGTCATTGGTAGATCTTCTATATATTTCTTTTTATCAACTCTAATGGTTTTCTTTAATGGCTTGCGTGCTTGTGCATATTCAGTTTACGTTTTTGCTTTTTCTGCTCTCGTTCGGCTGTCTTCCTGTTTTTCCTTTCTCGAATCTTTCCCAGGTTATCTAAAAAGATCCACATTTCATCCCGGTACTTCTTAGGGTCCAGTACTCGCTGCTTCTTGATTCACTATCCAGTTGTTCTTCATAGTGGTCTCCTCTTCTTTTACTAGGTATTGGACAGCATATAACTTGTTGCCGAGAACTATCTTGAATTTACTGAGCTTGCTGGCATCTGAAAGGAAGACCATATTAGCCTTTTGTCGTTGTGGCGAGGGCCACTTTCTTTCTAAAGACCGGAATAAAATAACATCACTCATGAAGGTAGTCTTTCCTGTCCAGATTGTGTCCAACCAACTTCACTTACTCAAAGCACAGTCATATTGTATCTTTCCATTTCCGCCGCTATTTGAATGACTCTCCCAATCCCTTACACTGTTCAAACACTTTATATTAATCGTAACTCTTGTTATCAGAGGGGGCACTGGATTCGTGATTTCTGGAGAATCTCGGCTTTTACCATGAGGCCTCATAGCTCTTCTACATAAAACCTCGTTGACTCCCACGGTAGAATTCAGATGGTTTAAATGAATTTTATGACTTGCTTCTTCAGTAAGTTTTGTTTCTAAAGGCGGGGTTGCTAAACACACCAAAAATACTTCTCTTTTGTCCAAATAATCTTAGTTCACTCAAAAAATTCAGAAAAATCTTAAGATTTCCAAGCAAATGTGCAAATCTTAAAATAGAAGTATTTTCTTTATGAATTCATATCAGTTGGTAGAATTGTGGAAAAGACACTCAACAGCTCTTTCTTACCCTAATTCGAGACTATTTAACAATCACGAACTAGCTTCCAGAGCCAATTACTATTGTTTGATCCGTGCCAGGTATCAGATAGCTACATACCAAGCGCAACAAATGAGGATTGCGCATTATAGCGAATCGGTTGAAGCTGTATATCAACACCGTTGGATGTCGGTTCAATGGTCTAGTGGTTTAGTAATCGCGCGTAATTTCAAGGCCCTGGGTCCAGGTCCCGCTTGCACTGTCGTGGATGTGCACTGCTGAGGAGATTCACACTTGGACAAACAATTATCCAGTTGTTTCTAGTTTCAGTGGCATTCTGACTAAGATCCCCTTGTAATTCAAACTTTAAAAATTCAAAGATTATTTAGATTTCGATCGAATATAATATCTTTAAACCATATAGTACATATATTTAGAAAAAACCTTACCTGTAAAGATAGTTCAAGTGACTTTGAATCTTCATGAAGTTGATTAAGAAGACATAACGATGATGTAGATGAAGAAAGACAAAAATTCAAAGTGCAATAAATCCCACCAAAATACAAACAATCACCATCTCTTAATTCATAATTTATTTTAGGTTTCAAATGTAAATCATTACGTTTTGTACCATTTAGTGAACCAAGATCTGTTATAGTACAAATATAATTTTCATCTAATTCAAATATTGCATGTTCTCTTGAAAGTAACTAAATAAATAAATAAAGTATAGTAAGTTTTATCATATGAATGCATATAAGATTCTTAAAAACCAAAACCATAAGTAAAGATAAGATTAGAAAAAGTATTCATGAAAATAGTAAAGATACACAGTTAGTCAGTAATAAGAACCTGTTATACCAATTTTGACAAGATGAATATATTCATCTTGTCAAAATTGCCTATTGCATCAACACATTTCATAGTATTTAATAATATTGAGATGAAGTAGAAAAAAGCAGAGCGGATGAGAATTCATCAGATGGTGTTGAAAAATAAAGGAATAGTTGTATTATTCACGATTCTCTTATCGAATTCCTAAAGGTTTTTACAATTCAATGCCTTGAAAAGACATCATTGAAAACAGAAATCAATTCAGTTTGTCTAGCATTTCAAACATAAATAAATAAATAAGACTCAAATGCCCAAACAAAAGCTAAGTGGAGCAACTTATCGTAAACTAGTGTTTAAGTCAGAAATATTAGTTTTAACTGTCAGTCAGTCAGCTACAACGTAGGACCAGGCATATATATGCATTAATCCAAGTTGCCATACCTCATTAACATAAAAGTAGTTCATTCAGTGATGGTAATATATTAAAGAAAGATAGCATATGAGGATATATTACAGGAAGAAAGAAAGATATGAAGCAATTTTAATTATACGGTTTAAGAAAAGACAAAGAGTGTATACACCGACTCCATTGTGATCGATTTTGAGCCATGTCACCAAGAGTCTCCAATCATTAGTTAAGATAGTCACGCGGACCCCAACTAAGTAGTCTGTATCTACCAACATGGCTCACATCAGAAGTTAGTGACTTCAAGCACTGATGCCACGTTTTGGTTTAGCCGCCCCTAACTTTCTTCCAACCGTCTCCAACACTGGTCAGCATTGCACGTCGTGGTAATCGGTGTTCAGGCATACGCAACACGTGTTACATTTCAAACATGGAAACTGTATTTGGGCTGCTCAATAATTTAGATATTTCAAGTTCATTGAAATTATCAGAAGCATATGTTATCAAAAAGCAAAAATGTGACCACCATGGTTACAGGAACAGTGATAAACCCTCAACTATTATAATAATGCATCTTAAACGTTCGTTAATGTAGTCCTATATTTCTTTCACATAGTATGAACTAACGATTACAATTCAAGTAAAACAAATTAAACCCATTTTCTTTGTTTTGTTCTCGTACGATTAGGGGTCGGAGACAATCTACAGGAAGAGAGCAAATATGTTCACCATTAGGCTTCCCTTGGACTATAAGTTTCCATATAAGCCTTTTCATCTTTCCTTTTTGAATCATACTTTTCGTACTTTTTGCCACTAATGTGGTATGTACTACGTGTACGGACGGATATAAGTAGTATATGTCGGGAACTGAAAGTAGAATTCATGCAGACAGAAAAGGAAAATGGAGAGAAAGGGAAACGGAAAGTAATCGAAATAACAACATGAATGAAAGAACGATGGAGTTTGTGAGGTACACCTTAAGAAAGGCAAATAGTGTATCGAATGCGTTGGTTTCATAATTTAGGAACAATGTGTGTTTCTCTATAATACAGTAAAATGGTTTACACTAACCAGTTCTTCGTTCATTAAACAACGCCTATTACTATTATTTAGACTCTGTTGATATTATTATTATTCATCTTGGTGTATTCATGTTCTATGACAACTCAGGTTGATACATATTTGTAACAATCACTTCATTATGACTGATTAACGCTTTATTTTCGTTTCTAGAACTGCTAGCCTATATCATTTTCATAATATTTCACAAATATCATTTCATTGTTTTCTTTATAAAACGTCCAGAAAACGACATGTCTGTATTTCCTCTAACGTTTGCTTTTAAATCTACTTTTTATGATTTATTTAGTATACTAGTTAAATGTTTACTCTATTGCTTCTAAGAAGAGTTTATACTTGAAAAGCATACTTTTCAAATGGAAATATCTAACATATTTCTTAATGAATGAGGTATTTCAGGTGGTGAAGTATATTTTTAGCTTGGGAGGGTTTTGAAAGTGTTGTATGTTCGGAGTTGGGTGGTTTAGTCATAAATCTTTCATTGCCTATCCAAATAATATGATCAATACCACTACAAATCATATGAACGAAATGAGATAGAAAAGTTGCAAGGTAAGATACAAAAGGACCTGAGAAAATAAAGTTAGATGTAGAGGAAAACTTAACATAAGAAATATAATTTGGAAGAAATAACGTATGAAATCGAAGGAAGGAAAAGTATACAATGACGCTCAATTTCAAATTAAAATGAGAATACAAGAAAAATAATATATCCACTCTGATGTAAACGATTTACAATCAAATAACTTAAGATCTCCCAATTATTGATTACAACAAACGTATGGATATCAACCAGGAATTCTTCGACTTTTAATGATCTAGACCAATAATCAGCAGACTTCATAGACTAGCGGTTTATACTTTCTTAGTCATTCGTCTGAATACTACAAATCTTGGCGGTTTGCTTGAACATCTGAGCTACCTGTTTCGGCCATCTACATATTTCAATAAGTTATCTAATTTCGTTTGTTTTAATACATCATTTTGGATATTAATCGCATAACCTATTCAAGTGCGTTTTTGAAAAGTGCACAACCTTTCGTTGTTACAAAAGGCCCAATCAGAGTTATCATCGTTGCTGGTAATATGCAGAGAAAAGAATGTAGATTATTTATATGTCGATTGACTGGAGTGCTAACTTCTAACTGGTGATCATTCAATATTTGCCGTCAATATCGATGAAAAAGTAAGAAGCGGAAACTTCTTGAAACAGTTTGTGCTGAGAATTCTATAATGTACCAAAAATATAACATTGAATAAAGCTAACAATAAATAAATAAATGATCTAGTTTACAATATCAATAAAAAATTCTTTTAAAACTACTAACTTTTTTAAACTCTGTGTCTGGTCATTTACCTGAACACCGATTACCACAATGCGCAATGCTGACTAGTGTTGGAGACGGTTGGAAGAAAGTTAGGGGTGGCCAAACCAAAACGTGGCATCAGTGCTTGAAGTCACTAACTTCTGATGTGAGCCATGTTGGTAGATACAGACTACTTAGTTGGGGTCCGCGTGACTATCTTAACTAATGATTGGAGACTCTTGGTGACATGGCTCAGAATCGATCACAATAGCATCGGTGTATATATTCTCTGTCTTTCCTTAAACAATGAGATTAAAATCGCCTAATATCTTTCTCTCTATGAACTAATTATTACTTCCTGTAATATACCCTCATATGCAATCCTTCTTTTATATATATCACCACCACTGAATTAACTACTATGAATCCGGTGTTCATCTTACTGTGCCAATTAGATATGGGAACTTGGACCGATGCATATATGTGCCTGTTCCTACATTTTGGCCGACTGACTGGTCATTTGCGCTTGAGGCTCTTTTTTGATTTAGTTATCGAGTGTGTGTGTATCGATTGGACAACAATATCTTCGGAGATTATTGCCCAAAGGGGATTTTTTATTAACTCATCAATTCTTTACAAGTATTAATAATATGTACTTTAGAAAATAGTTCTAAATAGTGAAAAAGGAAGAGAGAAAAAATCACTTACTGAAGATTTAATGCATATATCACACTTCGGATCTCGCCCAATAGTTACATACTCTAAACAAGGATTCGATTAAATATTTAAAAGAACGGTAAAGACTCACTTTTCACAAGTGGATATTCCATAATTTTCTTTTCAGATGCATAAACACTTAAAACAGGAACCTGTGATTTTTATCAAACATAACCATAATGTATTGTGAATACCTTATCCATTGGTTTACTGATTACATCATTATTTATAAAGTCAGTAGGTTGAGTGGAACAAACTTCATCCATGATATGAATAGATATTTACTTTTCTGTTAAAAAAAATTTGAACAATGAAAATACCAACAAGTCATAAATTGACATGAAGTCATTAAATAGTTAAAACCAGGTAAAATTTTTCAAAGTGATAAGATACACATAGACCATCTTTTGAGCTGAGTACCCAAGAAACAAACTTTGCCTGAAGCCTCTCTGGGGGCTACTGCCGGTCCCAAGCCCGGATATAGGAGGAGGGCTGGGCATGGGGTTAGCGACCTCATCCCGCAGGAAACTAACTCGCTAAAGAAACGCTAACACAAGAAACATCTTTTACCGAGAACTAGTTGAATAAAATGAGATTGATTTAGTTGACCGAGGATCTAGCATTTCATACATTGGAATATTACCAAACATATTGACACTAAAAGCAAGTAAATCTGGTTAACTGTTAAAATACAATCAATACGGATGAGAAAAGAATCCACCAAGACCAAGTGGTTCCGATGTAAATAATACTCCCTTTAGGAGTTTAACGTTTTATTCTACAGCCTCATCTGCAATATTAAGTATTTTATAGTGCCTTATTTGTACTGAGATTGAGCTCTAAATTGACAAAAAAACAGATGGTGAGTATATCCAGTACTAAATTTAACTACTTGTTTCTAAGCATGAGGCATGTTATATTAGAAGTTCAATATCCCGAGATCGACCATCAGGATTCTATTAACATTAAAACTAACGTCTAAAAATTAAAAACAGTAGATGTTAGTGATTCATTTCCAAATAATATATAAGCATTGGCACCCAACTAATAATCGAAGTACCCAAAAAAAAATTAGTCTCGGCTACTTATTTATTTATTTTAGATGAGGACTTCTAGTCTGACATTGAAGTTTTAAATCCCAAAACTCGTCATTCCTAAACCCAAAGTGAAGCTCATATATTGGCAAATTAAGAGCAAAAACACCGGTAGATAGATGAAATATTATTTCTGAATTGACTTTCTGTTATATAATACATATTTTGGAATTAATGTAAAGTATTTGAACTATATGACTGATCAAGTAAAGTTGACAATATACAGTCATGCAATTAATTACATTTATGAATTTAAATAAAGCCAGGACAAACATGGATGGAGGATAATATGAATTCATTATATTTCGTGGTTTCTTATCAGCTGCTCACAACACATATATATATAGTTATTATTAATAACCTTTGTAATTCCAATTCTTTTCATTCACTTATGTCAATTGTTTCATATTATATCTTACTTCAATGTAAAATTTTAACACATATTTGATTGTAAGCAGCTCATGAGAAACCATGAAATATAATGAATTCATATTATTCTACATTTATATTTGTTCTGGTTTTATTTAAATATACAGTCAGCTGAAAACATTCAGCAAAGTTACACATATATATTATTCCAACATATCCTACATAATTTGCTTCTTTTTTTCATTCACATATTTATTCGCTGAATATTATTGTCAGAAAGTTTAATACCGAAATACAGGTACAGAAAATAACTCAAAAGTTAAATATGCACAGATCCGTGTCCTAGATTATGACCCCGGCATCTTGATAATGGTTGCTGATGCAAGATAGCTACCTGAACTACAATAATTTCGGATGAATTCGCACACATGAGCCACCAATCGAAACATGAGTGCTAAAACCAGTGAGTAACAAAACACGTATGTGTGAAGAGTCACTAAAACTGAGCTAGAGATTTTTCACCCCATTACAATGCTTATGTTTCAGTTATACACACTGCCAAAATTATTCGATTGTAATTCCTCATATATTATAAGAACCTCATTTGGTTATGTGTGGCATGACCCAATTAAACAGGCGCTTGGAAAGTCATTGTTGTGTACTGTCATCGTAAAAAGGCAAAGTAGTGCAAGGGGCAAGAGTATTTGGAACAAGCAACTTAGCCTTGATATCATAAATCCTTTTTTAAAAGACCCAAGACAACTATTTTTAAATACTATATGGTTTTGTAAAGAGACGGTTGGTGTCTAGCAGTGCAATCCAAAATGCACATTTTGTTTTGTTTGAAGTTCGTCAGCTAAATGTACATTCATCCGAGATAATATTAACTCAAAAACTCGTACCCAGTACCTTTTGCTTCAAACGCCGTCGCATTATCCACTTAAAACTGAGTTCAGATAGTCAACGACTGAATTTACATTCCTAAATAATGGTTATTTGGATCTTTTAGTAGCTATTTGAACTCAGTAACTGAGTGGACAACGCTGACATTTGAAGAGAAAGGTACTGAGTTCCAATCCTGGAGTGAACATCAGCTGTGAAATGCGGATAGCTTCTGCTGACGAGTCCCAGACAGGACGAAACAAGTGTCCTGAATTTAAATGCTAGCCGCCATCAATCACTGCTTATCATGCATAATCAACTCCGCCTGTAGATCTTCTAAGATTGCTGTCGACCCCAAGACCGAGTAAAGCAGGAGGGCTGGGTATGAGGTCAGCAACCCCATCCCGTAGAAAGAAACCTCGCCGAAAAACGCCAACCAGAATAAACAAATTAAAACATTTAAACTCTGTCCTCCGAGTTCAAGGAAGAATTATGACGCCTCATCGTGAAAGCCAAGATTCTTCGGAAGTCACGAGGCTGACCCCCATTCTAACAACCTGGAAATCAATTAATATAGGTACATGGAATGCACGGACAATGTGCAAGACTGGGAGGACCAACCATACAGCCACAGGAATGAGTAGATACAACCTGACAATGCTCGGAATAAGTGAAACACATTGAACCCAAGGTGGACAACAAAGGATAGATTCGGGAAACATGCTTCGCACACTCACGGAATTGCTCTCATGCTGTCCAAACAAGCATGAAATGAACTGATTAGGTGGGAGTCTCGTGGATCTAGGAATATCAAAGCATCATTAAAAACAAAGAAGAAGGGAATCACAATGAGTGTTATCTAATGTTATGCACCCACCATTGATAGCAACGACGACGATAAAGATCACTTTTACGAGGGTCTGCAATCGATTAGGGAGAAGTGTCCAAGAAAGGATCTGACCATTCTGATTGGAGACCTAAACACCAAAGTCGGAATGGACAACACCGGGTATGAAGATATCATGGAACGACATGGAAGAGGCCGAAAATAGCGAGAGATTTACAAATTCATGTGCCTTCAACAAAATGTTTATAAATGACACAATATTCCCACACAAACACATACACAGAGCAATAAGGGTCTAACCGGATAGCACTACACAGAACAACAATGATCATGTTTGTATCACTAAAATAATCCAGAAGGATAATTGAAGACGAGAGAACCAGAGGAGGAGCTAAAATGGCTTTAGATCACTACCTGGTTGTGATTGCCAAGATGAAACTGAAGCTAAAGAAACACTGCAAATTAGGAAAAACAGCATTACAGAGGTGTCTAATACAGCCTTTCTTCAACATACCCCCAAATGCCCTGGTACGGCCGAGAGTGGTCAAAGTCCGCTCTCCCTCTCGAAATGCTCTCACATGGCCACGCCTATATAGCCTCTGCCAGGGAAGTTCTCCTCTCTGCCTTCTCTCACCAGGGGTGTTGTTTACGAAAATGAGAGGACGAAAAGCGAATGTCTGGCGCTTTAACCGGATCCCAAACCATTGGTCCACATGGGCTCTAGTATCCTGCGGGAACAAATGGCGTATGAACCGATTGTTGGTCACCGGCTTCCATGGGACTGCATCTCCTTACGATGCCTCACTGCCTTGTGGATCAGACCTTCAGGTCAAAGGCTCGGGGAGTGGCCCCCTAAGAAAACCACCTGCTTCGGTTTGAGCACCCGGGCAGTATCACAGCCCTCACATATATCGAATGAGATTTGTGTGGCGCATATGTATTTGGTGCCTCCTTGTACCAATATCTATGTGTTAAAATAAATAAATAATACAGACTCAACGAATTCAAGATAACTCTCAACACTAAGTTCCAAGCATTACAAGATCTACTGAAAGAAGAAACTACTATGAAGGACGATTGAAAAGGGATCAAACAAGCATCAACTTCAGCGTGTCAGGAGGTGCTGGGCATGAGTGATGGACCTCTATGGAAATATTGGACAAGATTCAAGAAAGAAAGAACAAGAAGACAGTAATTAACAACAGCCGTGCAATAGCAGGAAAATCCAAGGCACAGGCCCGATACACAGAAACAAACAAGATGATGAAGAGAAGCATTAGAGCAAACAAGCAGAAATATGTGGAAGGCCTGGCAACGACAGCAGATGAAGCTGCAAGAGAAGGAAATATAAATCGACCACATGACACAGCAACGCAACCTGCAGGGAAATATAGTAAACCAGAAAGACCAGTCAAGGACAAAGAAGGCAAACCAATCACTGAAATTCAAGAACAGAGGAACAGATGGGAAGAATACCTTCGAGGTACTCTTGAATAGACCAGCTACATTGAATCCACCGGATATCGAAGCAGAACATAAACACATCTAATAGATGTCAACCCAACAAAGATAGAAGGAATCGGGATAACCATCAGGCAAATCAAGAGTGAGAAAGCAGTAGAACTTGACTATATATCAGCTGAAGCTCTGTATTCAGACTTGGAAGCAACTTCAAACATGCTCCATATTCTATTCAGGAAGATATGAAAGGAGGAACAAGTGCCGATGGCCTGGAAAGAAGGACACCTCATCAAGATTCCAAAGAAAGGAGATCTGAGCAAATGTGAGAACTACGGAGGCATCACACCACTGTCAGCACAAAGAAAGCATTTCAAAAGAGTGTTGCTGAACCGGATGAAAGACTCATTAGATGCCCAGTTTCGAGATCAAAAGGTCGAATTCTGTAAGGATCGTTAGTACACAGACCAAATCACGAAAATACGGATCATCGTTGAACAATCAATTGAATGGAACTCGTCACCATACATCAACTCCCTGGACTATGAAAAAGCATTTGACAGTGTGGATAGGATAACATAATAGAAACTTCTTTCACACTATAGTATACCTGAAA